AGTTCAAAACACTAAAACTGTACTACCCAGAGAAAAATCACCCTTTACAGGGGCAGCGGAATTCTAGAGCTAAGGGGTCAAGAGCACAGGCACTGGGGCCAAAGTGTCTCAAAAGCTACCTGTAGGCACTGACACTGTTAACACTGCCCCGCCTGTTTCTCCGCCTGCAACATAATCTAATGGCAGCGCCTGCCACACAGGGCTGTGAGGAGCACTGGCTGAGGCGGGGGCTTACCAAGTATTTTGGACATGCCTGCACAGAGGATGTGCACTCGGGTGAGTGTTTCTGTCTGTGCACTAGACCTTCTTACAATTCGATTCTCTCGATTCTCTTGTTAAATATGCTCAACGAGACACCCCAGCATCTTTCTATGTCCATAAACACATGTCTGCAAGAAAGGTCGTGACTGAAGGGCTGAACAGCTTACACATTTGGGACACCCCCCTCCGCAACAAGGCAGATCCACACTGGTGCCCCTTTACTGGCTTCTTAATTGTCTCTGGTATCTACTCCAAGATATTCCAAGATCCCTCAGGCAACCCTGAGAACCTCCAGTCTCACAGATGGCAAGTAACTTGACCAAGGTCACAAAGCAAGGGCTGGGACTCAGACATCTGGACTCCAGAAGCAGAAGTGAATCCCCAGCTGTGACAGCCTGCTGTCAGGACTGAAATGAAGCACCCAGGAAGCTGAGAGGGTGTGGAGTCAGGCAGACAGGCCTGAATCCCTGTCCCACGGGCACTAGCTGTGTCCCCTCCGACTGGTCCATCCCCCACCCCAAGTCTCAGTGTTCCCCTCTGTAAAATGGGACCACTGATACACGCCGTGTCACACAGTACCTAAAAGCTACCCCCCAAGAGCTTGCCTTTCAGCCAATATTTAACTAATGAGAAGCACAAGTAAAGCACTGAGCAGGCAAACAGTGAGGTTAGCTCCCCTGGGATGAGTATTTCATAAAGTCAGGGTTTTGGATTTTAGCTCATTGTGTAACTACAAGGTCTAAACAATGCCCGACAGAGAGCAGGTGCTCCAAAAAAAATTGTTAAATGAATGACTCTAATTTAGACCTTACTAGGTAGTGACTCTGTGTAAGCCTTTTTCGCCTCTGAACTTTTCGTTTTCTCTTAGGTCTAACAGGTGGGTATGATGACACTTAAAACAGTTGTTGAGTTCTAACTCTGTGCTGGGCCCAATTCCAGGTGGTTTATATATAATAACTCCTTTAAACCTTACAACAGCTTTTGAGGAACTATTATTAACCAGTGTTAAAGTCAAACCAGCTGAGGCACAGGGAGGTCAAGTCACTTGGCTAAGGTCTCGTGAGAAGTTAAGAGATGGAGCCAGGATTTAAATCTTCCAGACCTCTGACACCATAGTGTATCTGATTATATTACCTCTATGTTTTTTTGCGAGTCACTCTTCTGTCCCCATCAACAGTATACAGGATAAATATCTTGAGGTATAGTCATACAGTGGAATACTACACAGTAATGAAAATGAGTAAAATACCAATAACCCCAATGACTTCGGTGAATCTCACAATTATATTGAAAGGAGCCAGGGACCAAAGACTACCAGAGTTGCCAGATAAATGTCAGAATGTTCAGGTTAATTTGAATTTCACATATCCAGTGTTTTGTCTTTTAGTATAAATATGTCTCAGGGAGAATTCAAATTTAACCAGCCTTCTGCATTATGTGATAAACCCAGCAACCCTAAATATTAGATCTGTATGATTCCATTTATATGAAGAACAAGAACAAGCAAAACAGATAAATTGTGGTAGAAATCAAGACAGCTGTTGTCTTGGGTGGGGTTAGGGTGAGCAGAAAAGGTATTAGGAAAGGTTCATATCTTGATCTGAGTAATGAGGTAAAGTTTGCAAGTCCATGGGCTCATTTTAGGAGCTTATAGTGAGAATTTAATAAAAGGAAAACACTGTTAACTCAGATTACCAGTATTTGCATCAAACCCTTCTGGGATTTTCTCTAGATTTTTTTTTAATTGAAATTTTTTTTAAATTGAAGTAACATTTGGATTCTTTCATCAGGCTCTACTGCAGACTGCCTAGAGCGCCCTCACGTGTCTACAGTTTCTGCAAACACCCCAGTTATGCACAGAACCCCTTTTATACAAGCTCGGAGTCTCAAAGCCAAAGGACAAAGCTTTGCTTTGCTTTTGCTCCAGAACCACAGAAAAAAGTTCAGGAATCCACATCAGACCTACCTGCGACAGCCCTCGCGTGTCAGAAGGGGACATGCAGGTCTACTTCCGTAAGGGAAATGGAGTGACTGGGACCTTTTTTCTACTTCCTGCCGCCAGCCTTTATGGCTGCCACCTGTGGCCTTGTTTTCCTCCTGGGACTCATTACCCACAGGTGATAACGTGCTATTGCAAAAAGTGCTTGGGAATGCGAGCACAGGGCACACGCGTCTGTAATTACAGGCACTGGGCCCAAGGAGCTGGAAACCCCAGGGCACACATACCTATAAGTATAGATGCCAGGCCAAGGATCAATAAGGGCAAGAGACGGTAGAGAGAAAGCACAGAGGCCGCAAGGGCTGGGAGGCCCAGTGTCTGCCTGCCTCCCTGCATGCCTCCCTGCCTGCTTGTCTGCTAGTGCATCTGGTTCCCTGCTCCTGGGTTAAAGACCTGTCAGGTCTACCGAAGACACCAAGATTCTTTCATATGCCCAAATCAACCATGAGCCTGCCCACCCTGGGGTGGGTACCCTATAATCTTTGCTGATTCACTGTTGAAGCAAAATGGCAAACATCTTTTTTCACAGGAAGTCACGTGATACTATTTGCAAGTGTCACTGAACAGGCTTCAAAATGTTTCCACATTAGTAATCGCTGCTAGTTTTCAGCAAGGACGTCCTGTGTGCCAGGCACCAACCACACTCAGAGATATATATCCATTTTTCCCCTTTCATCCTCAAAACCTCCATGAGGTATCTATTGTTTTGAAGCTGTATTCCCCCCCTCAACAGTAGGCTTTGGGCATCTTTCCATGTCAATAAATATAACTTGGGCGGTAAGTACTTGATTCAAAGGCTGAGAAATTTAAACAGTCAGCGGCCACTGCCCAGGTGAAGATCAATAATAGTTAACATTTATTGAGTGCTTTATTACACACCAGGCTCCATTCTAATTGTTTAACATCAACTATCTCTCATTTGATCCTTGAGGCAATCTTGAGGTAGCTTCTATTATTATTCAGATGAGGAATCTGAAGCTCTAAGAGGCACAGGCACCCCCCCAAGGTCAGACGGTGTCAATGGCAGAGTCATTCAGTTCTGATTCTGGCCCCTGGCTCTCTACCAGTATATTTGGAGGACAATATGGGGAAGGCATAAGCCAAGGTCCCTAAGTGGACAAATTATGAATGCAGGCAGGAGGGCAGTGTTAGCTGAGGCTAAAGGAGAGGCAGTTTCTAGAAAGCCACAGTACTCTGTGGAGGGGACAAGAAGGCTTCCTGGAGGTGGTGTCATTTCTATGGACTTGATATTCCCAGCAAAGAAAAAAGGTCTTTTAATAACTCACCAGCTTCTGGGTTCACCCTAGTGGAGCAAGGGGTTAAGATGCAACCTATGAAGCTGTCTGCAGCCACTGAAGCACGAGTTCGATCCTCAGCCAGGGAGCTACCCACAGGGCGCAGCAGACATCTCCTGACTGGCCCACTGCTCCCCTCAGCAGTGTATTTCAGTTCATCTGCCTGTTCTGTTCCCCACTCTGTCTCTGGTGAATCCTCTCACCCCCCACAACTCTGGCCTGTGCCCCAGTTCTTGTATGCATAAATAAATAAATCTTAAAAAAAAAAAAAACTCACCAGCTTCTGAACAGCTTCACATCAGACATGTGGGTTCAAATCCTGTTTGTGCCACTCACTGCTTGTTTTTTAAAAAAGCCATTATTGAGATATAGTTGGTGTGTAAGAACTGGCACCTATTTAAATGGCATAATTTGGATGGAGATGGAAGGGAGTATGCTCAGTGAAATAAGTCAGAAGGAGAAAGAAAAATATTGGATGGTTTCACTTATTGGAGGAATATAGGGGAAACAAATAAGGGCTCAGAGAAAAAATAATAACAATAAATAAAAAAATTAACAGGCAACTATAAATCAGAGACATTCTGCTGGGGGGCGGGATCAAAACAGGGGAGGGAGGAGCACCAGGGACTCAGGTGATGGTGCATGGGCGAATGGGTGGTGGGAATCCCATGGGGACAACACCTGAGAGGAGAAAGCTAGCAGTGTACAAAAATGAACAAAGATGTAAAATATATATAAATAAATGAATATTTTAAAAATTGCATAATTTGATGAACCTTAACATATGGACAGACCCATGAGTCCATCACCATAATCAAGATAATTAACATTTCCATCAGCCCCAAATTTCCTTCGGCCCCTTTATACCCTGACCCCATTCCCAGGTAATCATGGTCACTACAGATTACTTCTTTCACTATAGATTGCTTTAAATTTTCTGGAATTATATAGAAAGGGAATCATAAATTCACACTTTTTTTTGGTCTGCTTGCTTTCATTTGGCATAATTTGAGATTAATCCATGTTGTTGCAAGTATCAATAGCTTGTTCCTTTGCTAAGTTATTATATATGTGTATGTATATATATAAAACATATTTCACAGCTTGCTCACCCCATTCCCCTGTGGGTGGCACCACGCTAAAGATATCTTTTTCCCAGCCTCTGGCTACTATAAATGGAGCTGCTAAGAATATTCATGGAAGTGTCTTCTAATGCACAAATGCTTTCATTCCTCTTGGGTCAAGAGCTAGGAGTATGATTTCTAGGTCACGTAGTCCTTAACTTTTAAAGAAACTGCTGCAAACAATTTTTCAAAGTAGTTGTACCATCCTAGAGTCCCGCCCAGCCCGGGAAATGAGAGTTCCTATTGCTAGCATGAATCTCTTTCATTTTAGCCATTCTAGACACATGATTTTTTAAAGAAGATTTATTTATTTATGCATACAAGAGCTGGGGTGTAGCAGGGGGTAGGTAGGTGAGAGGATTCATCAGAGACAGAGTGGGGAGCAGAACAGGTGGATGGATTGACTGAAATACACTGCTGAGGGGAGCAGCAGGCAAGTCAGGAGAGGTCTGCTGCACCCTGTGGGTAGCTCCCTAGCCAGGGATTGAACGCATGATGTAGTGGCTGCGGATAGCTTCCTAGTGCTGAGACTTCACACCTTGAGACACCAGAGAGGCTCTAGACACATGATTTTTTAACCTGTGGACCCCAGAGATGGTATCTTGGCTTTCTCAGTTTCTGTGGTCACATAGAGGAGATACTCACATGAGCTTCAACCAGCTGGGAAGACACAGTGAACCAGCACATATGTGTAGGGACTGGCATGTCATAGGAGTTTCATAGGTGGCAGCTATTTTGCTACAATTGAATCCCAGTCATCCGGTGCTCTGGGGACTTTCCCCAGGATGCAGCATCTTCAAGCAGATGAAGAAAGTGGCTTCCTGTGTGTAGAGTGGGTGCTGTTAGCCTGGAGGAAGGACACTAGCACCACAGATGGAGCCAGGCACCATGCTAGGTCCTTGCATATCTCTGATTCTGCCAAAGTCCTAGCAGTGGTGGCAGAGGGTGGGGGTTGTTTTTCTTCCATTTGACAGATGAGAAGTGTCATAACCAGTTGTTAGCCAGGGGCTCACAGCAGTGAGATTTGATGTGATGAGATGTGAAGCTAAGACAGTCTGATTTGGGGTCCAGAAGTCTTGTTAATGAGTACCTGGCTCAGAACTAGCAAAAGAGTGTAGTCAGAAAAGCATCTCCTAGGGCCCAGCGGTGTCTTTAGTCAGTTCCTTGGAAGCAGAGCCTGAGCCGGGGATTGTGTGCCTGTGATTTATTAAGAGAAACCTGTCAAGAAGGGAGGAACCAGGGCAGGAAAGAAAGCAAGCAAGGATGTGATCACAGGTAAAATCTTGCCAGAGGACTGACCTTGTGTGCCTCTGTACTAGCTTGTCATTGACTGTGGGCCACCCTATGGGTGAAGGGGTGAGGGGGGATAACCTCCTAGGTAAGATGACTTCTGAAGTCACAGTCCCCAGAAAAAGAGGAAACAGTGAGCCAATGTCAACAACTGAGGCGTCTGGGATAATAGCTGTGCTGGCCCCATCAAGGACTCATGATGTCCCTAGAGGTACCCACATACCTTACCTGCCGCATGACCGAGTTCTAAGTTTACATCCCAGGATTGTCTGGAAGAATCCTCCATCTCACTGCAGCCAGAATGTTGAACAAACCTACCTGTGACATAATAAAAACATAGCTTTATTTTTGTCCCCCAATGTTCCTTTGAAGGGGTGTTCAGTGGAGAAATAGCTTCCCTGCCACTGGGTGTAAATGCATCCCCGACATACCCCCCTTTCTGCTCACTCCCAAGAAACGTACGATTCCATGGTCACTTTAGGTCCCAAACACAATATCATTTGAGAAATTAGAACACTTGGTCAATCAACCCTCCCAGCTTGACTTGGGTTTTAACCTCCCCTGGCACAGCCTGGCAGTGGGGAGAAGATGTGCTGGGCTTTTTCTCTATGTCTGCACAGGCCGGGCCAGGTGGGTGGGTAGCAATGTTGGGGGGAAGGGAAGGGTCTCACTTGGCCTGTCACCATCCCAAGACCTCGAGCTTTGTGGGCAGTATTGGGTGTCTTGGCGGCGGCCATTGACACAAACCCCTGTTACCCTTGACCTTGATGGATGCTCCTCTCTTCCTGGGGGTTTCTTGCAACTCCTTCCTCCACCTTAGGAATCTGGCAACCAGCTCTGAGATTCTTGCTGCTGTCACCTCTCTGCCCCTCAGGAGGCCCCACGGTCCACATGGACCCCTCACAGACTCTCTGCCCAGGCTCACCCATGGGAAAAATTTGAGCACATCAAGACAATGACACCCACATAAGGGCTTCCAAATAGTGCCCCCCATTTCCCCGCATTCCACCAATGGATTCCTTGATCCCTCTCCCCTCCATATAGGGGGCTTTGGACTGTACTCCTGAGAAGTGAGCTGACTGTCACAGTAGAACTTTCCAGTAACATTATACAAGCCACGTCCACCTCTTTGAACCTGTTTTCTGACAATACCTACCCAGCGGGTTGTTGTGAGGACTGAGGGACTTCGGGAATCTCCAGAGCGTTGCCAGATCTGACACTCAAGGCTCCCACGAGCTCACACCTGCAGCTTCATCTCTGTGTGACTCTTACAAGAGATTTTGCTTCTCTGGGTCTGCACTCTGCCCTGCCCACGCCCCCCAGGGCCCCCGCCCCACAGTGAGTGAATACTTAGAAGTGCCGAGAAGTCGTCTCGCTGGGTGTTAGTCTACAACGGAGGGTGGACTGGGTAGGTCCTTCAGCTGGTACTGGTGGGGCCGGGGGTGGGGCGTCTCCACGCCTCTTGGCCCCCACCGTTCCAGGAGAATGTTTTGGAAATGCTTCAGTCTGGCTGGGGACCTAGGGCCCCCGGGAACAGAGAGGACAGCCTGTACCACCAGCAGTCATGCTGACTCAGGTCAGAAAATCAATGTGTGACCAGAAAAACACAGTTGGGCTCTCACCACTTCTGGGAAATCCGCACAGCCCGGCCCAGGCACGTCTTTATCCCGCGCTTAGATCGGTGGCCGGTGATATTCTGCTCCTGAGTCCGAGGCTGGCGCCCAGAGGAACCGAAGACGCGGCTCCTTGAGGCCCAGGGGTCACAAGCTTCACACGACCCTTCCATTGGGGCCTGGCATGTCTAGTGCTGGCCAAAGCCCCGACTCCTCCCCTCCCTGCTCTGGACACTTCTCAAGCCAAGTCAGGCTCTGGCCGGCTGGCTGGGCAGCCCGTGACCTCAGGCTGGGTCAGTACCATCCAACGAGCATCGTTTGAGAGGATGGAACATTTTGTTCTTTAGAATGCTGAGGGCCAAAGAATAGGAAGCCTCCCCGTGTAAATTCAAACCCCCACACTGCCAGTGACTTTGGCACTGAGTGAGTTGGGGCACATTCCCTCTGTCAAATGCAGATTAGCCACCTCCCCCGGGGCCCTTGTGAGATCTGGGTAATGCGCTTAGGGGCTGTCACACACTGGCGGGTACTCGCCTCGGGGAGTTACTTAGTCTGTGGGGAAGAGGATGGACAGGGGAGCGAGACGGCCTGGGCCAACGCCAGGCTGCCCTGCCACCTTCCAGGCAGCCGCAGACCACGGTGTCTCCCGTCGCCCCATCTCTGCCCATGAATGTCTGTCTTCTGACCAGAAGCCAACTGTCCTTCTCCTCTGTCGGTGCTTCTCAATTGAAGGAACTTCTGTTTCCCAAAGCATATTTGGCGATGTCTGGAGATATTTCTGGGCTTCACCACTGAGAGTGTGGGGTGTCACTGTCACTTAGAGGTTAGGGAGGCTATTAAACATCCTGCAATGTCCAGAACAGCCCAAGCCATCCCCAACAAAGACTTCTCCGGCCCCAAATGTGACAGTGCTGAGGCGGAGAAGCTGCCCTCTACCATACTGCTGTGCTAAGTAAGTCTTACCTCTGAATCCAGACAGAAGCTGGTTTTAGAAGATTGTCTGGCTCAGGATCACGTGCCTTAGATTGAGACAGTTGTCATTACTGGCATCCTGCAGCATGTCCCCAGTGCCCAGAGTTCTTTCTCCAGAGACTACATGAAGCTAGGAGGGCAGGGCATTTGGGACCCTCCAGACCAAGATGGGGGGCAAGTGGCCACCCCTCTGGCAATCTTTTGACTCTCAGGTGGGGTGTGCCCAACCAATCAACCGACACTTCATGGTGCAATGTACCAGAACTCCACATGGGTTGTCCCACTGGACCTTCCTAGGGCACCCCAACCAAGGGGCACTGTCCCTCATTTTCCACATGAGGAAACTGATCTTTTCTGAGGGGAAGTTCAGAATGGTACTTCTGCATGTCCAAGATGACAGTTCAAGTCCCGGCTCAACCAGAGTCATCCTGGGACTGATGTCTTGTCCTTCTGTGAGCCTGGTTCCCAGCCTGTGAGAACAAAGAGGCAAGACTACGTGACCTCTCAGGCCAAGTAAAACGTGGGGTAGTGATGTCATGGAGACTTGGGATCAAATCCATTTCTTTCACTGATTATCTTGAGTCCTTAGGCAAGTGACTTTCCCTCTCTAGGGCTCAGTTTCCTCATCTGAAATGGGATGAGCCTGGCTTGCTGTTCATGGGGTGTAGTAAGGCATAACTGAAAGCACATGGGGGGCCTCCCTGGTGGCACAGGTGGTTGAGCACAGCACTGTGAGGCTGTCCATAGTCTCTGCAGCATGGGTTTGATCCCAGCCAGCTGGGGAGATACCCACATGGCGCATCAGACCTCTCCTGACTCCCCGCTGCTCCCCTCAGCAGTTTATTGCAGTGGATCTGCCTGTTCTGCATCCTGCTCTGTCTCTGGTGAATCCTCTCACCACTACTCCCACCTCTGGCCTGCACCCCAGCTCTTGTGTGCATAAATAAACAAAATAAACCTTTTTTAAAATAAAATAAAATGTTAACACCAGGAGGAACCAAAAATAATGACCCTCAACTGAGGGATGGGGGAGGCACATCCAGGCACCTCTGAATCCCAAATCGGCCCTGCCCGAGACCAGGTTTCAGGTTTTTGACCGACGTTCCGCTCCCCCTGCTGGCAGCATCCGGAACTGCAACCTGAACTCCAGGTACCACCCGTGGGTCTGGTGTCTGGGTTGAGAGGAGGTGTGTATCCCGATGCCTGGAACAGCAACGTTTGGACAGGGTTACCCTTCACCATTTGCCACCAAAGCTTCCACTTGTAGGACATTTAGTGTTTGCCGGGGAAGGCATTCCCTCTTATGAACGCATTTTGCCCATGAGGAACTAGATGCTCTGGAAGTTTGAGTGACTGGCCCCAAAGTTGTCCTAGTCCTCATCTAGGGAAACTATGAATTCAGCTTTTGATAAAAGAAAATGCAGCTATGTGATCAAACTAAGGATTATGAGATGGGATGTAGGTGGGTCCAGTGTAATCCCAAGATCCATTGTAAGTCCTTCTAAGAACCCTGAGGCAGAAAATAAGTAATTATCGAAATAGGATTCCAGCGCAAAAACTATGTTACAGGACACACTATACCTATAGTCAACAATAATGTATGGTGCACTTTCAGGTTTTGGAAGAGGATAGATCTAACTTAGCAGAGGACAATTTAAAAAAAGAAGATTTAAAGAGTGATGCAGGAGACACAGAGTCAGTAGTAGCTGAGACAACAGAAGCAAGGGGTTGAAGTGACTGGAGGAAGAGGGTATGAGCTACAGACGGCAGGGGGCTCCAGAGCTGAGACAGGCAACGGAATCGAGTACCCCCTCAGATCCCAAGAGAGAATGCATCCCTGCCAACTCCTTGATTTTAGATTTCTGACCTAGCACAACTGTAAGAGAATAAATTTGTTATATTTCAAACCACTGTTGATAGTAAGCACAGCAATAGGAGACTAATTCGTATATTTACAAAAAAAAAGGAAATGATAGGAAAAAAAACAGGATACCTAGTTAAATTTGAATTTCAAGTAGATAACAAATTTGTCGCCTATGTCCCATATGTATGGAGCAGGTATACCTATATTTTAAAAGGGTATAATGTTTCTCAGGAATTCAAAATTAACTGAGTAAAAAAAAAAAAAGGTAACTGAGTATTCTGTATTTTATCTGTCAGCTCTAGAAGTCATTGAGTAAGGGCAAAAGTCAAAATGCCTGGCTCCCCATCCTCATCGTGCCCCACCCCTCATCTACCATCTGGCAGAAACTTCCACATTCATGTGGCCCTGGAGGGTCATTTCCCCCCGTGGGGATTCCCCCCGTGGTGTAGGGAAGGAAGAGATGAGTAAGGCCATCTTGGGGATACTGCTTTGGGCTCTGAGCCTCCCCCACCAAGTAGTCTCTCTAGAAATACTTAGTGTCTTTACTCTGTCTGAAAGAAGGACCCAGATTTGTTTCAAAGTTGTGCTTGCACAAAATATGCGGGGGGATGGTGCTGGTGCTGGTAAAAACTTTTTCAGGCTGTGGCTTCAAAGGAAGTTCACCAACCCCAAACAGGAAGACAGTCACTGAGCCCAGATTCCAGAGCGAGAATCATGTTACAGATGAGGAAACTGAGGCCCGAGGAGAGTGGGGATGTGCCCACGGTCACTCTGCTAACTCTAGAAGATGTGGCCTGGACTGGACTCTCCCTTTGGAAGCCAAAGTCAACGCTTCTTCCCAGGACAGGTGTGGCTGGGCAGGATCCTAGAAGGCTGATCCCGAGGTCTGGGGTCGAACCCTTTACTTCATTGATTGCCAATTTCCCTTTCATGAACTAGAACTCCATACATATGAGGATCAAATGAGACGATGGTGCCTGGCAGTACGTTCTCGAAAACCGGCAGTTTCTTTCCTTCCGTCTCTGGGGCTTTCCCTACCTTCTTTACCTGACTCCGAACGAGGCCCCTGAGCGAGCACCTGCTCGCGCTCGCGCTCGCGGCTCCCCTAGCCGGTCCCCAAGCCGGTCCCGCAGCGCTGAGTCCAGCCGCCAGGTGGCGCCAGAGGCGGCAAGCGGCGGGCTCTCGCACATGCGCACTCACAGGCGGCGCCCCGCGTCCCCCCGCCCCGCGCGTCACTTCCGGCGCGAGGGGCCCGGCCGGCCGGGCGGGGAGTGCGGGGCGGTTCTGCGCGCGCTGCCGGACGAGGCTCCCGCCGCCGAGCACCCGCGCTCCGCCCTGTGGCCGGGCCGGTGAGTGCCCGCCGGGCGCCCGTGTGACCTGCGGGCCCGGGGGAGAGGGGGACCCCCGAGAGGGAAGGATAACCGGAAGTGGGGGATCCGAGACCCCAGGAAATGGGGGCACCTGGGGAAGGGGTGATAACCGGAAATGGGGGGCCGCGGGTTCCTGGGGTGACTTTCTGACTCTCCCGGGTGGGGCGGAGTGGGGAGGACGGTGATGCTCACAGAATGATGGGGGCCGGGTGAGGAGGATCCCCGGCTGCGCACGGACAGGTGGTGTCTGCGCCCGCCCTGCGCCCGCCCACCTGTGCTGGACACTCCTGGGCCTGGAGACCGGGCAGTCCCAGGCAGAGCCCGCTGCGGGCCGGGCACTGGCTTCCCCGCCGCGCTAGGTGGGTGCCCTTGGGCGCATCACCTCACCACCTGAGGCTCACGCGTCTTGAATGAGCACCGCCCCGTGCAAGGCGCTCGATGGCGGTGAAGGTGACAGGAAGGGTCCCCCTTTGTCAAAGGGGCACAGTAATCGTGGTCTCGCCAGATATTGTGGAAATTAAATGAGAAACAGATGGAAAGTGCTCATCGCTGTGCTTGATGCATGGTAAAGCCGATGGCGTGGTCTCTCTTAAATCATTCTATGGCTGAAACTGCATAAAGCAAAGAATTAGAATGTTGGCTGACATACACCCAGCACCCGAGAGCACAGCCCCCTGCACCTTGTCAGCGGTGATTTGAATGAATGAATAGGTGGTGAAACTGAGGCGTTTCGTGTAAACGGGCATGACACTGGTCTGCAATATCTGAAAGGGAGATAGGAGGCCAGTGCCATGGAAAACTGGAGGAAATCACCCAGGGGGGCTCAGAGAAAGCTTCACGGAGGAGGTGATATTGCAGGTGGGCCTGGGAGGGAAGAGTTGTTTGGTTGGGAACAAATAAGGAGAGGAAGTGCCAGACAGAGGTATCAAATGCATGAGGTGCTCTGACAGTGATGGGTTATTAATTTGTTTGGGTTAGCATTTAATGTGCACTGAGAGGGGGAGAGGTGTGTCTTCCAGGTGAGCACTGGGTTGGGATTATAGGCATGTGTTGGTGAGTCCCACAGAAACAGAGCCAGAGTGGATCCTGTGAACACCTGATCATCATTCTGTACCTCCTCAGCGTACCTCCACCAGGCATATTAAACTCATGCACCAAGTATTTATGGGGTGTAGGCTGTGTTTCTAATCCTGTTAGGTGCTGGGTTTCAGTGATGAGCAAGACAGATGATGTTGCCTACAAGTTGCTGAGAGACAATTTTGAGTAGGAAGAGTGCTGTGCCAAAGAGTTCCTGTAGGGGGCGCCTGACCTGGAGTCAGAGAAAGCTTCCTGCTTCAGACACCAGCATCTCACCTGGATTAGCACATTAGCCTCTGCATCATTGTTTGAATCCTCATCCCCTTATAGGCCATGCTCAAGACATCCAAGTGATCCTTTTAAATATAAATCATATTACGTCTTCTCAAAATCCTCTGCTTTCCTCCTACGTCAGTAAAAGTCTTACTAGCCAACAATAGTTCTACAAAATAGCCTACAGAAGTTCTTACTAGCCTGCAATAAGCCCAGCATCAGAGCCCGCAGTCTCCCTCTCCGGTCATCTGCGAGTGTTCTCAGCCTTGCTCACCTGACTCCACCCACCCTGGCCTCTTCAGATGTTCCTGCTTCAGGTTTTCAACTTTGTTCTTCCTCCAGATATCTGCAGGATTTGCCCCCCCTTTTTTTAAATTTATTTATGCATACAAGAACTGGGGTACAGGCCAGAGGTGTGGGAGGTGAGAGGATTCACCAGAGACAGAGTGGGGAACAGAACAGGCAGATTGACCAAAGTACACTGCTGAGGGGAGCAGCGGGCGAGACAGGAGAGGTCTGCCTCGCCATGTGGGTTGCTCCCTGGTCGGCTGGGGATCGAACTTGTGCTGCAGTGGCTGCGGACAGCTCCATAGGTTGCGTCTTAATCCCTTGTGCCACCAGGGAAGCCCTCCCTTATCTGTTTCATCTTTGCTTAAATGTCATTGGATGAGAGCCTTCCCTGACCACCCTATATAAAACTGCAGCTCATCTCCAGGTACATCCAGCCCCCTTCCCTACTTTATCTCCATAACACGTTTAGTCGATTATATAATTTGTTTTGCTAGTAGTCTGTCTCCCCAACTAGAATTTAAGCTCAGTGAAGGTGGACTGTCTTGTTCACTGCTGTACCCCCAGTGCCCTGGAAGAGGGTCTGCTACATAGTAATTGCTCAATATTTGTTGAATGTATGAAGTTTGTGTGTAATTCAGACTTAAGTGTGATTGGTTATTGGTTAGGGGAAGAACTGGAGGAAGAACATGCTAGTGTGAGGAAATAGGATGTGCACAGACAAGAAAACATACCTTTGGGAGGAAGTAAAAGAAGATGGGTTGTGCTAGAGGTGAGCCAGAAGGAATGGAGTGGGTGTGAGGCTGTAGAGGGTGTGACATGGCCTCTCTGGCTTCATGGAATGGGGTAAGACTGGCTATGTGCAGGGACCTCTGAGATAGTCCCCGACTGCCTTGTTGAGCTCAGACGGGCGGGGTGGGGGAAGGGAGGGTAGTAGTGATAGCCTATGCACAGAGACCCCGGACAGCCCTGCCTTACTCCTGGAGTAGCTAAAGCAGCTAACTGCTTTGTTTCTGGCCTTCAGTCAGTGTATTAGTCCAGCTCTTCCAAGAAATAGGCACTAATTCGAGATTCAACATGCAAGTATTGGAGGTAACACCTGTGAAACATAAGAGGGAGGGTTGCTGGACAAGTCAGAATCTTTAGAGATGATGTGAGGCCCGGTGCGTGCAGGAATTTTGGGCAGGAAGTCTTGGACTACCGTGCAGATCCAAGAAAGATTTGGCCAGACCCCTAAGGATCCTCCCAGCGAAGTGCCCGTGAGAAGAGACCCGGGTCTGTGGTCTGTGGGAAGTGTGGCATCTGCTGGATAGTGGAAGCAGAGGGACAGCAGCTGTGTGACAGGACAGCAGCTGTCAGTTATACTCCCCTGCACCCCCCCACAATCTGATTCTCAGCCGCCATGATAACTCACATGCATACAGGGTAAATTCAAGCAACAGTGAAATGCTTCTCTCCCACCTTAAATGCCCAGTTGTCCGGTTCTGCTCTCTAGAGGGAACCGTTCATAACAGATTTTTTCTCTCCTTCCAGAAAGTTTAGACTTGTCACAGCGTATATATGTATGTTTTAAAAGTACAAATGCCCTTATTTGATGCACACCGTTCTGCAACCTGCTTCTTCATGTACCACTTCATACAGATCTACCTTAGCTCCTCCTCATGGCCGGACAGTGTCCCCTTCCTGTGGGCATTCTGTGTAACCGGTCTCCGTGGCATGCACTTCAGGTGTCCCTCGTCTTTTGCTGTTCTAATCTTGTAATGATCCTTGTGATTTTACTTGACCTCTCATAAAGTGTTATGTCTTAGAAATAGAATGTCAGCCAGAGGGGTGCGCTCCTAAACGTTGACGGATACTGACAAACCGCCCTCAAGAGTTTGTCTTTTTAGTCTGCCACCCACAGCAAGCATATCAGAGTGCCCGTTGTGTACTCCTGCCAATCTGAATTTGAAAGCTACTTAATTCTTTAATTCCAAGGCCGGCCAAGCACACATTCCTGCATGTGTCAGCAAGGTTATGGTTTGATGACTGTATTTTGTGACTCGTGCCTGGGGCCTGCGCAGAGTCTCACCTCCTTCACTCTGGGGAGGGCCTGGGTGTGTGGCTCTGACCCAGCTCTTTGCCGTGCTTGAGAACCACTGCTGTGAAGTTAACAGCTTGACAACTGTCTCCCTACATTGGGCTTGTCCTGGGGTTTGAAATGAGCCACGCAGGGCCTCATTAACTTCTCTCGGGGTCTGTTTGGCCAGGCACCCTGGTAGCTCATGTCAGAAGAAAGTGACTCTCTGAGAACCAGCCCTTCTGCGGCCTCACTTTCCGAAAATGAGCTGCCGCCACCCCCCGAGCCGCCCGGCTACGTGTGCTCGCTGACGGAAGACCTAGTCACCAAAGCCAGGGAGGAGCTGCAGGAGAAGCCGGAATGGAGGCTGCGCGATGTCCAGGCCCTCCGGGACATGGTGCGGAAGGAGTATCCGAACCTGGGCACCTCGCTCGACGACGCCTTCCTCCTGCGTTTCCTCCGCGCCCGCAAGTTTGATTACGACCGGGCGCTGCAGCTCCTGCTCAACTACCATGGCTGCAGAAGGAGCTGGCCCGAAGTCTTCAACAACCTGCGGCCATCGGCCTTGAAGGACGTCCTGGAGTCGGGGTTCCTCACAGTGCTGCCCCACACCGACCCCAAGGGCTGCCACATCCTCTGCATCCGCCCAGGTAGAGCCCTGGGCTGCGCGACCGCGCGTGTCTGCTTGCGTGCCTGTTGTCTCTCTGGGGTGTGTCTGTTTTCTAATTCCCATTGGCTCCTGCTTGGTTAGCCAAGGCTCCTTTGAGTGCAGGTGACAAAACCTACTTGGCCTGACTTAAGAAAATGGGAGGATTTAGTGTAAGGAGGAACATCTCACAGCACCGGAGAACTGAAGCAGCAGCCCCAGAACCAAGAACCAGAATCCAGTTCCTTCCCGAGCAGGAACCAAGCCGTTCTCCCGCCTCTGCTGCTGTCTGTAAGGCTGGTCCTCTGGGCCATGAGTTTCTGCTGCCTTTGCTTATCTTCATGCCTTTTCTCTTTTGCTGCCTCTATGCACGTGGCTAGATCTGGCACTCCTAGCTCCCAGGTATACCTGGCCCCCCAGCTAAGTTCCTTCAATGCCAGTTCAGATTTCTAGAGTTGAAGATCCGGTGGGCTGAGAAATCTGCCCCCATCATAGGCTACAAGCATGGCTGCCAGGACCCCACCCCCTACCTGCACCCTGTCCTGAGCAGTGAGGTGAGGCAGGTATGAGGGGAAGAGGGGAGGCGAGACACATGCCAGGAAGACTGTTACCACATGCCTCCTTCAACCTCGCCTTCCTTCGCCGGCTGTGTTAGCCTCTAGAGAAGTCACTGTAGTTATTGATCTTGGCACTTAACAATCGAGGTCAGGAGACTTTTGTTTGGCACACTAGCTTTGAGTTGGAAGAAGCGCCTACTCCTTTTTCCAAAAAGCTTTTTAAACTGCGTGGGAGCACATTTGACACAACGACCAGGGCATGCTAGGACTGAGCTTGTCATTCTTCATCCTGTTCTCTTCCCTGACCCCACACATGTCATGGACTTAGAAGTGTTCACTCTGCCCCAGCCGCAACATTTTCCCTCAGACCAGAACTGAGACAGTATTTGAGCATAACCCTGCATCGCCCTTTCCAGCCAAGCCAGGAAACGAACATGCTGGCCGCCGAGTTTGTGCTCGCCAAACTCCTCCTGGAGGGAGCCGGGTGGGAGTGGAGACCCCCTCGCTGCCCCACGTCACCGTTTCCTTTAGTCACTTAACCAGAAACCTCTTTGGAGACCAAACCATTCTCCCGAGCCATTGCACCAGCCCCTGTACCCGGCACAGTGTCAACTGCTTTACTTGCCATTGTAGGCACTTGCCAAAATTAGGAGCGTTTATTTTAAAATACGCAATGCAGCAGGGGTGTTAGGGTACCAGTGGGTTCTTCTGCCCTGTGTGCAACTCATAAGACTATTACAAAAGAGATATTACCACACTGGCCTCACCCCTTTGGTGGCGTGGCTTCAACCCTTTGTTCATAAGGTAACTTTTTCCCTTATGTCTGGAGCAAGTCCGGACCTCTCCCCCCAGCTCAGCTTCTTAGGTGAACACACAAGGTTTTGTTCTTACCTGGGTATTAGCTTTGCCTTTGATAAGCTCTTCTGAGATTTCTATGGCTGAAAAGGGTGGCGGCAATGATGTAGAAGCAGGTGTACTTTGGTAGCAACATGAAACAGCAAATTAGCAGGTCTTGGACAGTCTTTCATGGAAATTCTGCTCATGTTAGATCCCTCCGGTGACGGTCGTGAACTGTTTGAGAAAGGAACATGTGGATCTTGGTGGGATTTCTTGAGAATAGTTGTTAGTAGTCAAAAGTTGTCATTTCTGCCTCATTTCCAAAAAGAAGAGACTTTTCAAATATGTGGGAGCGATTAAGGGAGTGTCCAACCTCTCACATTAAATGTCCTCCACCTCTGCTGTCCTCAGCCCGGACTACATTCTCAGCCAGCTCGTTCCTCATGGGGCCCCTGAGTCTCAGGCTCCCAGCCCCACCGTTACAAGGGGGAAGAGAGAGCTGCTCTTTTTGAAGGGCCAAGGTCTCAAACTGAGTCCCCTTGGCTCTGCTTGACCTGGTGAGGATCACACTGGCCAGGAGGATGTCATGGCCGGATGAGCCAGCCCACTGTAGAGCCACGAGTCAAGTGACTTCTACCCAGATTGCATGCTAGTCTGGAAGGGGTGGTTCTCCAAGGAAAATCAGGGTGGTGCTCTGAAGATAAGGCCACACACTTAATGGCAAAAAGCATAGGTGTCCATTGAGGTAAGTATCCATTTTCTTTATGAGGGGACGCAGGCTCAGAAGGAAGGTAGGTCACCCAGCTAGTAAGATCCAGGTGTGTCTGACCTCAGAGTACGTGCTTTGAACCTCAGTGCTCAGTTGTATCTTCCTATCCGAGTGTGCTGCTGTGTCTTCAGGGATCCCCTTTAGCAACCTAGAAAGAGTCGTGCCAGTAGATTATCTTTCTTTGCCTTTTTTTTTTTTTTAAATGTATTTTTTTTTAATTTTTTTTTTTTAAAGAGGCATGTATTTTATTTATTTGTTTGTTTGTTTGTTTATACATGCACTGGGTACAGTCAGAAGCGCGGGAGGGTGAGGGAATTCACCAGAGCCAGAGCGGGGAGCAGAGCAGGCAGAAGGACCGAAGTACACTGCTGAGGGGAGCAGCGGGCGGCAGGAGAGGTCTGCGCGCCATGTGGGACCCTCCTCCGGTGGCCGGGGAGCAGCCGGGGATCGAACCGGCGCCGCAGAGGCCGCGGGCAGCTTCACAACCCAGCGCTCAACCGCTGCGCCACCGGGGCGGCCCCTTTGCCATTTTTAAAGAACAGTTTTAGCCAAGGCGAGAACTCGGCCCGATTACTTGTTTATATTCCCTTCTGTAACAGTGTCCATCTCTCCCCTTAGACAGATGGATACCCAGCAGCTATCCAATTACCGAAAACATCCGAGCCATATACTTGACGTTAGAAAAACTCATTCAGGCTGAAGAAACCCAGGTGAATGGCATTGTGATTCTTGCGGACTACAGAGGAGTGAGCTTATCAAAGGCATCTCATTTTGGCCCTTTTATAGCCAAAAAGGTGATCGGCATCCTCCAGGTATGGCCCCTCTTTGTCATGTGCCTGCTGTGCAGTGGGTGGGCTCCCCAGGGCCCTGTGCATTGACTCCCCCACCCCCATCAGGAAAATACAAAAACCTTCGCGAAGAAATTGTGCTGTTATTTTACGACGTGTCTCACAGTGGTTGGTGTTGCTTGCAAACCCACCACTCGCTCGTGGAGTGCTCTGAGATAGACAGGGCCACAACGAGCTTTCCTTTTTAAATGGGGGAAACATCTCAAGGCTGGGGCGTCTCACAGCTCCACCAGGTTTGACTCCCTGTTCTGAATCAGGCTGCGGGGCCTTCTCTGGGGTGTGCTGGCATGAGAGATCCAGCTGGTCACTGAATTGCACAGTTGTTCACCCAGATGATTATTTAAATGTCACATTTGGTCATTTTCAGCCATTTGATAATGGCTTTGAGCCATACGCTGGCTTTCCTCAGCTTCCTTTTTTGATGCCTCCTATAAACACAATGTAGCTTCAAATGTTAGGATAATGGAGCTGGATCTGTGATTTTCTAGTTCTATCAGGTGATCTGGGAGAGAAGTTCCAGGGTTAAATAAGTCTAGGAAGTGGGGCATAGCCTGTGCCTTTCCTGTGACTCCATTGCAAGCAGTTGCCTAGAAAAGGCTCTGAGCAGTCCTGCAGCTACGGAGGCCTGTTTGCTGTATTCAGTCAATTTCCCACTTACTCACACACCACAGATCCCTTTTCCACGTCACGTTTAGTCCCATCCCCAGAAAGACGCTTTGGGCAACGCTGACCCAGAGGCCTGAGGCTGCAGCGCTGTCCTCCAGGCTCAGAGCAGGTGTTTCCACAAGAGCAGCAGCTCCCCATTTGTTGGCCTCACTCTCTCCTTGCCCAGTTCTGAGTCCCAAGAAACTCTTGCCCTCAGCTTGTCTTCCTATAGGCCCCACCCGGGCCGAGTCTTTGAGGTCTCGAGAATCAGGCCCCACTGATGTGGAGGCCTGTAAGGGCAGGACTGGACACTGAGCAGGTTTTCTGATCCCATGCAGACCGGGTGAAGGAGGAGTCAGAGTCCTCAGTGGTTTTTGCAGGTCTTTTATTGGGATTACCAGGTACACCGCAGGCGGGGGCGCTGGGGGGCCGGGAGGCTGGCAGGCCTCCCAGCCCCCAGCAAGTCTTCACTCTATCTGGGCTCTCCCGCGTTCTCTGCTTCTCTCTCGGCTTCTGTTCTTTCTCGGCTTCTGGGCTTCTGCTGGCGTCCCCATGACGCCACCCTTAAAAAGCCCAGTCTCAGCCCAGGTGAATCCCATCTACCTCTGCCCACACCCTACTCCAGGTGCCCGCCATCAGGCATGCATTCAGGACCGTAAGGGTCCATCATCTATCCTGATGGCAGGAGGGCAGAAAAGCCTGACATTTTCTTTACCCTATAAGGCCTAAAACGAAGGACGCGAGCGCGGGGTCAGCCGGCTGTGGCAACAGCTTGCAGAGGCGCCCCATGTTGTAACATCCCTTCCCTTCCCCCACAGGACGGTTTCCCCATTCGGATAAAAGCAGTCCATGTGGTGAACGAGCCTCGGATATTTAAAGGCATTTTTGCCATCATAAAACCGTTTCTGAAGGAGAAAATAGCAAACAGAGTAAGTGATGATCCTCCAAAGATACTTTCAATTTTGTTTTTCTCCCGGGATTTATTTGTTGACATCTAGGAATTACTGCACTATCAATATACTTATCTCAGTTTATTATTTTTACCCTGTGACTTCTAATTTGGGTTACTAAATTACAAGGTTACTGATAAAAATAAATGAGCAACTTTTTCTGAAGATGAAATTAATAACAACATAGTAGTTCACAGTTGTGCAACCATTCCAGACTGGGTGGGTTCATTGTCGATTCTCGCAGATGAAAAGAGAATTTTGGAGCCTTGGTATCATCGTACAGGCCTTTAATACTGAGTCAGGGGACAGACCAGCCAGGGAGACAGCAACTGAGCCCCCAGCCTCAGAGCTGAGGAGCCCTTGTACCCCTCCCCGTCTCCCCACAGCGGTCAGCACTTCCATGTGCACATTCCCCGTGCTCTCTGGGCCCAGGTGTCCATGATCAAGGCCTGCACCCTTGCCTCTAAGCTGGCTGGCATCGTGCTGCAGCCGAGGAGGAATGCAAGACTGCAGGTGTCTGTTATAGAGGCTAGCGACTGGAAGGCAGAAAAAAATGGATTTAACTCCAATTTCCCTACACCAGTAGAGCAGGCAGTGCTGGGATTTTTATCCTAAGAGCCTTCGCTCTGAAATGATCTCCTGGCCTGGACTTTATGAGCCAGTGGTCTGTGTTCAAGAGGGCAGGAACAGGGCAGTAGTGGGCAGATAGTTAGGGTCATTTCTTCCTGCAGCTCCTGGGGTTTAAAAATGCTGTATAATTCTTTACCTAATTTGTCATCTCGCTGCATAGCTTGTGGAATTATTCAAGGTTTATGAGCTGTGTGAGTTTTCAGCTGAACTCTGATTTAAGAAGGGAAGAAAACTCTAAAAGGTAGTCTTCCTGACCCAGAAGAGCTGCTTCTTGGAAGCTTTCATTCCCAGGCTGAAGTGTGATGGGTGCTATTTTTCTCCTCCTTCCCTCGGCCTAGGGGCAGGGCGCGCATTTCAGAATCTGGGCCTTGCATTATATACTCTTTTCAAAGAGGAAACACACAGAGTATCTTGAGGTTGCAGGAGCAGCAACTAAATTCCAGATCCTGAGTCTCAGACCCTTTCCCTGAAGATTTGAATTCATCAGCCCAGGAACCTGCACTTTTAAATCTCCTGTGGGGATTCTCATGCCGTCAGAAGTGAGGGCTGCTGATCAGTAGCCTCCTGGCAGGAGTTTAACCTATGTGGATTCCTGGAGATCCTATTTGGAACTTTTTATGAAAGCAGTCTTTGGGGCCAGGTCTGCTATGGTTGTGAAAGGATTTCATGTGTAGCCTGTGATACTGTCCATTTGTTCCTTTGTGGGTTCATCCATTCATTCAAAAATATTGATCAACTACTGTGTACAGGTGTGTTGTAGATGAACAAAAACCGGCAGGGTGGCAGAATGTGGTTGGATTCTGGATAGATTTTGAAGGGCCAGCCAGCAGGGCAGGGTGAGAAATGAGGATTAAGGCTGCACAAGCTTTTCTAGGAACTGGGAGGGTAGTGTCACCTCAACTTTATTCATTCAACAGATACTTATTTCGGCATCTGCCATGAAGCAGTTACTGAGTGATTCACCCAGTGCTGTGTGTGTTTCCAATTTCCCCTTAGTTTTTCCTCCATGGATCTGACCTGAACTCTCTCCACATGAACCTTCCGAGAAGCATTCTCCCCAAGGAGTATGGGGGCACAGCTGGAGAACTGGACATCACTTCCTGGAACGCAGTGCTGTTGGCCTCGGAGGACGACTTTGTGAGAGAGTTCTGCCAGCCGATGCCTGCCTATGACAGCATCCTGGGCCAGGCCCTGCTGCCCGAGGGGCTGGCCTCGGAGGCGCAGTGTGATGACTCCATGCGGGCTGTGAAATCACAGCTGTACTCCTGCTACTAGTCCCCTGGGAGGGTCATCTTCTTTGAATCCTTTCCTTTTTACTTCGGAGAGGCAGAAGGCGAACTTGAGGTGCCATGGAGTCTATCTCGCCCCTCATAATGGAACTGCAGCTTGAAGGAAAGGCCTGTTGAGCTTTGAAGGGTCACCAGGTGAGCCACAGCTACCAGATTACTCCTTGGGAGACATGGAAAACGTACCCAGTGATTTGCAAACATGTGGAATCCCACTTTGCAGCCATTAATCTGGAAACTGTATTTGGTTCTTATGCATCCTAAAGCAAGAAAAAATCAGCACCAAAGTTTTGTCGATCCCACGTTCCAGAAGAAAATACTCTGATGTGTTAGCACATTCCTCTCAAACTAGGTGGCCACACGTGAGACTTTGGGAGGGTATCTGTCCCATGAGCCCTAACTCTAGACCTCTGGTGCTGATCAGGAAAATTCAAGGCCGGGCTCCAGTTGCCACTTCGGGGTTCGGAAAGCACCTTAATGATTGGGGCTAACATCGGGATTTTAGCAGCACTCCCCGATCAAAGCTGGGAGCCGGAGACTTCAAAGCACCTCTGGGATTCATTGGTTGAATCTTGCAATAGAAACTGAAGTTTTCCCAAACCCATAAAGCCTTAGCCCTGGTTCTCAATAGAATCATACAGGATCCTAGAAGTATGTGATTTCCTTAGCCAAACATCCTGGACGCCAGGCCCATGTGAAAGAAATCTGGCACAAGAACTAAGGGGCCTTCAGCCCCAGATGCGTGACTGTGGACAAGATGCAGAACTCTGGACCACAGCTTTCTCATCTGTAAAAGGAGGCTGGGTGAAATGATGCCCAGGCCCTTTTGGCTGCTGGGTTGTGGGGTTAGGTTTAGTGACTGAATGTTCAACATGGCTCTCTGCCAAGCAAGGTCACTCTCTGGATGCGAGTGGCTGGACTCTGACTTTGTGGCAGCTGGGCCTTTCTAAGGACATGTCACCATCTGGCCCTGCCTTTAAAGAAACTAGTTTATGTATTCCTGGGACTCAGTGACACACATGAAGGCTGTCATGTGAGTTAAACTTTGTGAGAGCAGGTGAGATGACCAGGATCTTGTATGAATTCCTCCCCTCCCCAAGACTAGTGGTATCTTGTAAACCTGGCGACAGGGAATGGTTAAATTATTTGGGATTGTTAAATTCTGGTCTCTGGAAATGAATGCAAGGGCAGGTTATTGCTGGTCATTTCTGGGACCGCTGCCCTCCCAAGTCCTGTGGTGTCTGCAGCCAGACTGAATGTTAGTTCTGCATTTCCGCACTTTAGACCCCTTCCGTCAGGAACCTAGCCTTAACCGCAGCATCCAAGTAGGTAGTTCCTCTGATGGCTTTTGACCTATTTCCTTTCATACTCATTCCCGCAGATTATGGTGTTAAAAGTGGCAAGTGCTGTGTGTTGCGTGTGTCCTCCGTGCATCTGTTAGATTCCCCAAGCGAGGTAGACACCTCGGCACGGAAGAGAGCTGTCCTCTGACATTCCAAAGCCAGCCTGTTGCTCATCATTATAGCGCTTTTAAAATTGCCTGAGAAGACGTGGTGGTGGAACTTAACCTCATTAGTGCCAAGTCCAGGAGAGTTCTTTCAGCCCAGATACTGGCCCTGGGTGCTCCAGGGACCTGGAGGAGCCGCAAGTGCCACACTCCTGGCTGCCTCTGCTTCTGTCCTGCATGATGGCGTGGCCCGCACTGCTGAAGGGTCTGAACAGGACCAGCAGGCTCCAAACCCAGCTACCTGGATGGGAGATTGGTTAGAAGCTTTCATAGGCCCCCAGGGAAAGAGATTTTAAGAAACAACAGTACAAAAGCTAGACAAAGAGGAGCAATCTGCTTAGACCCACCAAGTTCCTGAGGTCCAGGCTGTCCATGGCATTCCTGGCCAGGTGCCTTTGTATGTGTGACTGAACAGAGTAGACGACTGAGCTGGCCTAGAGAATTCTCTAAAAGGCCAGGATGTTGCCTGCTCCCCAGGCCTTTCCAGTGGGACTAAGAAGCCGTTTCCTCCTGCTTTGAAAGGAGTCAGGGCCATGCTCTGTGCCTCCTAGAGCCGCTGGGCTTTGTTTTGATGCCAGTTGATCAAATAGTTGTGTCACCTCATGCAGAACCAAGTTGTGAAAGCAGGAACCCCTGGGGTTACTATCAAGCCTGCCTCTTGCGGCTTCTCCAGGCTGTGTATCAGGTGGAGCCAGCTGGGGGGGGGTGGGGTGCAGTGACCAAAGGGAGCACCCAGTGAGCTGTACTCAATAGTGGGAACACCCGCAAAGCAAACAAGTGCTCGAGGGGAGGATTGGGGCATTTTCCATTTTCCGCCAGTTCTGGTCAGTTTCACAAACATCTGCCACTTAAGCTTTCCCGGATTTCAGGGTTGTGTCGTATAGGAGAGGCAAAGGAACAAGAAAGCAGGAGACCCAAGTCCAGCCTTAGTTGCTGTATGGCCTTGGGGGAGCCTCTGTGTCCTCAGTGACGGGGCTACACGCAGAGCCAAGTCCTCTGTTCCCGGTGCCTAAGTGGCTGTACTGTACTAGCTGAGGCTGCTTCCTTTTCCTCCCTGATCTATTTTTTGGGAAATTTAGGTCTGGATGAATTGTTCCCTAAAGCTTCCAATCTGTCAGAATCGGTAACCTGGGGGGTGAGGGAGGGGGTGGTGTTTCTTCTTCCTCTTCCTGGAATCCTGTTCTTTCTGGGAAGAGGCGGGAAGAACTCTACAAAAACAGCGGGACGTGTAGTCCTGGTTCACGTGAGTTGCTGCTTTGCTCGTGGTGAAGGGGCTTTTGGCTCCCTCATTCCTTCCACTCTCACCTGGAGCCACCTGTCCCCAGAGATTTATAAACACAAGCTTACAGTAGACGACGTTTCTGCCAGAAACCCTGTCAGGGCAAGAAACCTTTTCCCTGAACTCCTCTGGACTACTGAGCATTTCAAAGTTCTCCCTGGGTAGGCAGTTTCTTTAAACGTCATGTGATTTTCAGATCCGTGTGGGATTGCTTCTCGTGGGTAGGCGAAAGCTATCGTCCCATTGCGGCATTATCATAATACCTCATTTTAAAGTTTCAGCTTTTAAGGTTTTCCTTTGGAACCACTTCTTTCATCTAGGAAGTAAAGTGTTAGCTAAGCTAAAGATACCCATCCTGTGGCATTGTTAACGGTTTGAGAGGCCCTCGGTTCTTGGCTGTGGCGAGCAGAGAACTCAAAGCCATGTGCAGACTGAGCAAAGCAGCAGTTTATTTAGCAACAGTGCACTCAGGAGGGGGCCCGAGGGGGAAGTGTCCACAGAACAGTTGTGCTGATAGGATAGGGAATTTTTGCCTAAATGGGATGCAGGGGCCACTCACCCTATCCCCCTCTGGGATCATCAATCTGGGTCCATGCTCAGAGGGGAGTCCTGGTCCTTATTTGGCAGCTGGTAGAAAATTGGGGGGCAGGGGTGTCTGTCAAGCCATCCCCGCCCTCATCACGCAGGCGCACTAAGTTGTTCCATCTGCCCCTGCAGGTGTTTCCTGATGTCCCAGACAGAGTTGATTCTTCCCATCAATTATCCTAGGCACTGCCTCCTGCCCTAACTCCTAACAGGATGGGAAATTTGGAGATACCAGACAAACCTATCAACTGTTAGGAGAGAGGTCTCTCCCAAGATTGCTCCTCAGCACTGGGATTGTTTTGTAAATCAGAATTCCCTTCTGCTCTCACGACTCAACGATGGTGTGCTTGAACTGCGAGTAACAGCTACCATCAGATACTCAGTCGATTTTTGCTTCATGGGATGTTTCCTGTGTGATTTGTGGATGGAAATGGTAGTGATGAGTTTTACTGTTTGCCAATTAGCTGGCTTCATCTCACTGGTCAGCGTGTTTAGTGAGACAGAAGGCTGCTGCCCCTGAGGATTCTTGGGGCTGTGCCTCTGTCTCTTGGCATTGGTGGGAACCTGCTACCAGTGAAATACTTGAAACCCCTCTGGGCCAGGAGCCTCTGACAGCACTCTTCCCAGGTGGGGGTGGGCTAGTCTGATCAGATCAAGCACTCTTTCAGCCACATTCCTTGCTTCAAACTGAAATTCAGTTTGACTTTGAGTGTAGGGACACTTGGTGACGGATTCATCTACTTCAGTGTTTGTTTTGACCAAAAGTTTTATTTTTCTAGTGCATTTTCTAAGTCAAAGTGGTGAAAACATGTAATTTTAGTATGCATGACTGGGCCTTAATAAAAATTCCTGTAAGATTGAGTGTGTGTGATTTTTCTGTGACAATGACAATGTGGATAAAGTTCTAAGATTTTATTATTCACAGTTCACGATGGTCTGGGCGGAGCGTCTCCAGCGAGGAATGAGGGCACTGTGGCCGCTGTATTCGGTAGAGCTGGCTGCCTCTGCACATCACAGGCAACTGGAAGACGGCAGTGCGAGGAAGGTGGCGCTAGATGCACACACAGTGCAGAGGACATGCAAATTTTCAATCCTCAGGGACCACAGTACTTCCACCAGTAATCTGTCCAGCAATAGCCAACAATTCCTGAGTGCTTATTGGAGACCAAGCATCAACTGAGTCAAGTGCTCCACACACATAATCTCATTTAATCTCTAAGCACCTTAATGAAGTAGGATTACTGCTGAAGAACAGAAAAGGAGTTGCCCAAGGACACAGCTGGTCAAGTGGCAGAGCTGGGTTCAAGATGCAAAGGCAGACAGTCTGATAGGAGCCCACTCTTTCCTTCCAATGGTTGGAGCTAGGCTGTGCATGTCTTATTGTCAGCCCCCAGACAAGATCATAGTGGTAAAGAAAGGAAGACATTTTTTAGACTAAGAAAGTGTCAGTTGAAAGGCTGGCTTCTTTTCTAGCTTCTTGGAAAATAGGATAGTTCTTATCTTCTGAGACCCAGTTGTAAATGAACATTTTGTTCTGGAAGCACCCATAAGTAAAACCAGGTTCCTTGAGAGGTAACTAGGGTATGGCATAATCAGCTTTGGCCCATGTGTGCTTAGCTGCTTCTCCGCCTGCCTCCTGTTCATTGACTTCCATAAAGCATGCCCTCTGACCCAGAAAAGACAAAAGCTAGGTCCCTAGGGTGGGTCTGGTGTGTTGGTGACGGGTCAGTTGAGCAGCACTTCCACGCACGAGGTCCATGCACTCACCGTTGGTTCTTGATGATGCAGCAGGTTACCCTGCTTACCCTGCAACACACCAGCGCCTTAGGTCAACCTTCTCTGAGGAAGCTGTGAACTGAAGCTCAGTCTGTTTCTCACATCTGAAAAACTGGAGCTACTGGCTCCAATCCTTTTTAACTCATAGTAGTATCACGAGGATCAATTCATGCGATGCTTTCTAAGACACAGGAGTTATTTTCCATGTTAAGGGTCAGCACTTTATCAAGTTTCTTTTCTAAAATGCCTTGATTTTTCTCCATGCTTTTTGCTCATGCAGGACTGGTATGACACTCATCATCAGTAAATGTAAGGCTGCCTGATTTGGGGTCCTAGAGAGCAGAAGGACTAGACTAACACAAAGGAGCATAGATTAAGAGCCGCTCAGGGGCCTCCCCTGGTGGCACAGCGGTTGAGCGCTGGGCTGCGAGGCTGCCTGCAGCCTCTTGCAGTGCCGGTTCCTTCGTTCGTTCCCCAGCCGCTGGCAAGGGTCCCACCAAAAAAACAAACAAACAAACAAAAAAGCTGCTCCGCTCAACAAGCAGAAACAATACCTGCCCTCGATCTGCAGCAAATGTTTCATGGTACTGCAGTTAAAGGTGGTAATGAAATCCTTTAGGATATCACTTTTCTGGGAAAAAAAAAATTTAACTCAATGTTCACCCTTTTACCTGACAAGGTGCCAGTGGCTGGGGATACTGTAACACTGGAATAAGCAGTGAATGCCTTTAGGGGATTACTAGCATTCCTTAGCAGTATAGTTGGGAGCCACCCTAAGCAGTCTCTAATTGACACTGTCTCCTGCACACTGATGGGCCAGGAGATCGTGGGCTCTAACTGAAAGTCAGGTCGTGGGTGTTTCTTAGTTGATTTCTAAAGGGGTGTGGGTGGGGATGGGAAGCACCACCTTAAGGGGTTACAGACACTGTTTACTGCTTGGTATTTGTAGCTATTTATGTGATTACTACTCTTCACCTGAGGACATAGGCGTGGTGGCTTGAGTCACGCAAAGGTAATTAGGACATCACTGAGGAGGCTGCTTGACTTGGGCTCCGAGGTAACAGGATGGATTGACCAACACAAAGAGCTGACTGCAGCTCCCATGAATAAGCATAAGCCTGGTATCTGCCATCAACCTGCAAAGAGCAAATGCATGGCTCCTATTACTGAATACTCACTTAAGCCTGAATGTGTAAATAAAAATACAATCAAGCAAAGCCTGTAATAGACAAAAACCAGTCAGTCCTTGTTTAAATTTGACCTGAGTTACGGTTTTGTCAAAAATAACAAAACACTGAAAACTTAGGGCCATGGTCCCTCTTTGGAAGTATCTTTGCTTGTCGAGGGGAAATTTTACATCCCAATCCACCAAGTACCTTGCAAGATCAACCCTAACTGTCAACATCCATCCAGCCTGGGGTAAAAGCTTTCCCCCGCTGTGCCAGTTAACAGAAGCAGCCACTGCTGCCATTCATTTGATGACTGTCTAGAGCATACTGACCTCAAAGCCAGGACCCTCAATCTGCAATCCTGGGGGACAGACAGGCCTGTTCACACCAGCTGACTCATCTGGAATGATAGGACACCATGAGGTCTGATGATTCAAAATCACATTACAGTAAGATCCTGGGCTTAATAAATAGTGCTGACGTTATTCATACATATGTGCAACTCAGCACTCAGGTATCTAAGTCACTTGAGCCTTGAGTAAACTACTTGGTCTACCAGCAACAGGTCAATTTAACTTCTTAGGGTACAGCTATACAAAGCCCCCGAATTTTAAGAATTTGTTACTTCAAATTAATATCAGTTATCGTGAGAAAAAATATAAACTTTATTGGACTTTGTTACACTTATTTTACATTAGCATTGCAAATACAATTTAGTATTTAGTATTTATTTTAAACTACACGGGGGTTCAAGGGATGGTACATCATAACATTTTTGAAGCTTAAGACATTTAAAAGGCTGGTCTTACTGTAAAGGAAATTGGAGTGCCTGGCTTTACACTAGCAAAGGAAGGCGTTAAACCTCCCCCATCTGCGCCCAAATCCCTTGCAACTTTATCTCTATACCCTGACATAAACTACTGGTTTAAAAGGTGGTGGTTCCAACAATACATATCAAGTCCCACTTCCCTACCCCTCCCCGCAGATGGTCCCAAATGGTTCTGTTCAATTCTGTAAAGGTATCTCCAATCTAGCCTTTAAACTTTGTCTGAACCTTATGAATACTACCTAGTCTCTCTCATTTTAGCCCACACAGAGATCAGCAGTTACAACTAGAGTACTTAAAATGGGCCAAGCACTTTACAAAGTAACTTACTCTTTCAACAACATTAAGTACCAGGTACCTCTCATTGTTCAAATAAAACACTGAGGTTAGAACAGATTGTCACTGACCCAAGGTCATGAGGCACAGCATCTATCAGCTAGCTAGTTTTACAGATAGAAAATGGCTCAGCTGGGTGCAAGTCCAGTTTGAGTTCCAAGTCTGTGCTCTTAGCCATTCTCAAGGAACCACCTTCATTCTTCCTCTGGCACAACTTTGTCCCTTTTCCTGTTTCTTACCATTTAAAGGGAACCACCATCTACCCAGGCAAGTACGCCAGCTTTGTTCACGTATCCCCCACAACTAATCAATTGCCAATTCAAACTCTCCCTCATAACTAATCAATCATCAATTTAATTACTAAATAGCTGTCAGTTCCTCCCCCACCTCACTTTCACTAGTTTAAAATCTTGGGTGAACTGCCCCTGGTTTCTTCTCTCTAAATCCAGTCTTTATATATCAACCACAGTGGCTGCAGACACCATTTGTTCACGTCACCATATGCTAAGTGCTGCCCTCAGCCTAAGGTCCAAACTCTTTAGTGTGGTTTACAAAGCCCTTCATGATAGTCCCTGACCACATCTTTCTATTTCAGTTTTACTGAGCACCCCCATTTTCTTAAAACTCTCTGTCTTTAACATAGTGCTTTCTACCTTTCAACAGTGCTATCTCACTTTCCCATTTCCTAACTAATTCCTAACATTTCTTGGCTTACTTTTCTAGAAAGTCTACTATGACAAACCCCCACCCTCAAGCCCCACATCCCAAGTACCCCTTTTCTCTGAGTTCTCTACAATTCCTAAATCACAGCACTAATTATATAGCACACTGTACCACCTGTCAGCTCATTTTCATCCTCCTCTGAACTCTAAGTCCAAGAGCCAGTGTCTGCCACATTTCAGTGTATCCCAGGACCTGAACAGTGCAGGGTACAGATCAGATACTCACTGTGACTCTGCTGAAAGAACTGTTCTATTAAATGTACTTGGTGTTACCCTTCCTGAAAGTTTCCTTTTTCTATCTACCCAAGTGTCTTACCCAGACGAGAGAGTGTAATTTTTGAAAGAATACAAGACTTCACCAGTCAGACCTTAAGTTTTAAAAGGAACAGATGCATTCTGCTTCATGCTTGATAAACCTAACTGCCCATATAAGACTGAAAAATATAGAAAGGCTGTTAACTCATAAAAGCTGTTAAAAGAAAGGGCCTTAAAAGCTTAAGTCTTTCTATTTTAATCAAATACCTTTATAGTGCAAATATAAGTTCACATGCATTTTACATTTACATACTCACAGCGAGACAATTACACAGACTAAAGTTGCACTGTTTTCCCCAGTGAATCTTGTGAGTCTTCATTTTAACCAAACCTATAAAGCAACTAAAATTAACATTTCTGGTAAAGCACAAGCTTGGATCAAGCAGCATCAATGCTGTAGTATTAAAAAAAAGTAAATGAAAAATCTCAAGATGTCAGAGCAGCAGCCATATCATCAACCCCTCTTTTCAGGAAGGACCCCTCACACAGACTCCTTCCTCCAAGTACTAGGATGCTACACCTCTTAGGAGTTTAAGGACTGAACAGAGTGTTTACATCACACAAGACTGTCACAGAGGAAATCGCCACAGAAAAGCTTTCTTTTTTTAGAGGGTACTGCAATAGAAATATATTAACAATGGTCTCAAATATCCAACAGTTTTCTATCTTACATTTTAAAGTTGTAGGAACCTACAAGTCTTAATAAAGAACTTTCTTCAGCACAGCTGTAGTTCACTTTAAAACATAAAAATGTTCCCTTTGTGCTATATTCTTGCAAATAAACATAGTAATCATATAAATGAAAAGTTCAGATCCTGCACCAAGCATTATTCAATTCTGCCCTATTACACAAATTTGGATATAGTCAAATTTGCAAAGCATTCACTTACTATTTTAGTCAAAGCAAAAGTAAAAGGGATATGGGCTTTCAGCAAAGGAAACATTTATAAATGATACAGGTATCCTTGGCACTTAGAGGTTCAGTTGAAGTCTCGATTGGTGAGGACGAGTGGAGCCACAAGAGTCCAGACGTAGAGGAGGAGGCAAACCCAGCTGGAGCTGATCTTGACCCACACCGCTGGCCACTTGCTGGTCATGCTCTGGAACTTTGCATCAGGACTAAGAGAACAGGAGTCAATGAAAGAGTCTGTTATCAGAATTCGGCAACAACCCAGCCAAAGCCAAGAAATTCTCTAGTGAAACTGGGTGACATTACTCCCTAGCAAGGTTCTAGAAGAACTTGAGAAAGTTAATTGTAGTTTTTATAGCAAGGGACTTTGCAGCTCAAATGGTTTTTATCTTATTGCCTACAAAGAACTCTGACCATTTCTTGAGCAAAGTTCTTTAGGAATATCTGGCTGTTCCAGATATTGGTAAAAGTCTTGACTGAAAAGGCCTGAAACTTTCTTTCCTCACCACATTTTTACTTTGGACAATACTTTAGACTTCGGATGGTCATCTCTCTCTATACACAGAAAAATTAGTGAACAAAGACAGGTCAGATGGTTTTATTTATGTCATGATTTCTTCTCTCAAGTAACCTGGGCCTGACTTAGGCCTGAAAGACTTCTCCATGATCTGCACTGCAAGAATTTCAGGATTAAACCCAAGAAAAGAAAACATTAAAAGTACTTCAGAATAGTCAGCACTGAACATGACTTCATTATACTGGTTAAGAGAAGGGGATATTCTGAGGTCAGGACGATGCCTGGAGATTCTGCAGGCAGTGCCAGGGGACTAAGTGGCCTTCCATCTGTTCTGATTGTGCATCCTACCTGTACCAGTTGGTCAGCGTCATCATGATGTACAAGGAAGCCAAACAGAGCATGAAGTGAAATAAGGAGTAGCTGTACTGCACTCCCTCTTTCTCGTTGTCCAGAGCCCGCCGAGGATGCCCATCTTCCTCGTCACCAGCACCACTGGTAGCTGTATCATTGAGGATGACGCTGTCACTTCCTGACAGGGTTAGCTTATTTGCTTGACTATTGCTGGAAGTGCGGATGCTGGAAAGAAATCCCAAAAAACAAATCAGAAAGGAGCCATGAAGTTGAATAGCTGCCATGGACCTACACACATGAAGGTTATTTCTGAAATGCTCTAGTTGTGGGGGACTGAAAACCTTCTGAAGGTCCCTGCTTAGAGTTCTTAATGCTTGCCTGTCATCACAAGACAGACAGTACTCTCATCAGTTACTACTTGATGGTTTAACTACGTAGGAGTTTCCCTAAACACACTAAGCTGTCAAGGTCTGCTTCCAAGACTTCACAACTGCCTCTTCTGTGCTTAGAATGTACCACCCACCAATCTTCACTCAGCTAACTTACTCATCCTTCAACTGTCTACATGTCATGTCCTCTAGAGAGCCTTTCTCTGACATCGCCCTACCAGTAAGCCAGAGCTGCTTATGCTTCCCTGCCATTGTACTAATTATTTCCATCTTTCTGACTACTCAAAGAACTCCTTAGCAACAAGAACCTTAGTCATTTATGCATTTCTAGCACACAGCAGAGATGTACTAAAAATTTGCTAAGTGACTGATTAAAAAAGCACATACAAATAAAGGACAATAACCACATGATCATCTCAACAGATACAGAAAAAGCAGTTGACGCAATCTAATATCGTCTCATGATAAAAACACTCAAACTAGGAATAAAGGAGAACTTCTTCAAACTGATAGACGCCATGTATGATTAACCCTCTTTAGCTAACATCATAACTAATCACGAAAGACTGAAAGCTTTCAAAACCTCTAAGATCAGGAACAAGGGGAATATTCCACACTCACCATTTCTAGTCAATACTGTATAGGAGTAACTAGGCAAGCAAAAGAGAAAAGACATCTGGACTGGAAAAGAAGTAAAATGATCTCAATTTGTAGATGACTTGACCTTGTATATAGAAAATCGTAAGGCATGCACACACATACACGCACACATAATTAGAATCAATAAACAATCTTGTAGGCGTTCGATCCCTGGCGAGGTTGTTGACCCACATGGCACAGCAGACCTCTCCTATCTCGCCTGCTGCTCCCCTCAGCAGTGTATTTCAGTCAATCCGCCTGTTCTGCTCCCCACTCTGTGTCTGGTGAATCCCTTCACTCCCTGCACCTCTGGTCTACACCCCAGCTCTTGTATGCATAAATAAATAAATCTTAAAAAAAAAAAAAAAGACAAATATCCCAATGACAAAAAGACAAAAGATTTAAATGTATATTTCTCCAATGAAGATATATACAAATGGCCAATAAGCACACGAGAAAATACACATCATCAGTGACATCAAAACCACAATGAAAATCCTCTTTACATTCTCTAGAATGGTTGCAATCAAACAGACAACTTAATTGGAATGAATAGGATGTGGTGAAATTGCAACCCTCATACATTGCTGGTGAGATTGTAAGGTAATGTAGGCATTTTGGAAATACTCTGGCACGTCCTCAAAAAGCTCAACACAGAGGTACCATTCTATAACCCAACAATTCCATTCCTAGGCATATATATCCAACAAAACAGAAAATGTACATTCACACACACACAAAAAAATCTTACACACAAGATATTCACAGTAGCATTACTCATGATAGCTTCACAGTAGAAACAACCCAATTGTCCATCAATTGATAAATGGATGAACAAAATGTGGAGATTTATGTACATATTCTAATAACAAAAAAGAATGAGGTACTGATTGAGGCTACAACCTGGATGAACCCTGAAAACATGCTAAGTGAAAGAAGGCCATCAACAGAGACCACACATTATATGGTTCCATGTGTATGTCATGTCTGAATAAGGAAATGTAGAGACAAAAAAGAGATTAGTGGGGTGGGTAGGGAGTATGGGCTAATAAATTTGGAGTTTTGTTTTGGGGAAATGAAATATAAAATTGGTGATAGTTGTACAACTCTGAATATACTAAACACCTACTGAATTGTATACCCTTAAAAGGATCTATTTTATGGTTTGTAAACCATACTGCAAAAAAAAAGGGTCAATAGTAAAACAAACAAAATAGTCACAGACAATCTGAAAACAAATGAGTATGTGTTCCAACAAAATTTTATTTAAAAAACTGGCAGCCAGCCCAAGAGCCAAAGTTTGCCAATCCTTACATTAAGCAGTCACTAAAAAGAAAAACACACGATGTTATGGAAAGATGTCCAAGTTATAATGACAAATTTGTATTTGAGGACAGTACTTATATAGTATGTTCTCAATTTATTAAAATTATGTAGCAAATGTATAATTATGTATAAAATGTGGGGCAGAGGGTGGGGGGACTATGGGCTAATAAATTTGGGGCTACGTTTTGGGAAATGAAATACAAAATTGACTGTGGTGATAGTTGTACAACAAAATAAATGTATAAATGTATGTAACCATGTATAATTATTTACATCTATTTACATAGACAGACTGACAGTAAGTATAAGCAAAGGTAAAAAGCCTTAAATAATATGTATCAAAATGTTAATCACTAAAGTAGTAAAAGATTAACATTTTCTACTTTCTACTTTCCTCACTTATTTTGTATGTTTATAAATATATCCCTGCCCATTTTTACTAATTATTTCAATTTTAAGTTGTGGAGGTAAAACACACTATTATATTGAAAATATCAATAAAAATGAGTGAGAGGATGAGAGTAATTTGCTAACGCAGGTTATAGAGACTTGGATTAACAAAAAAATTTAACAACATATATATTCTGTAGTAGTTTAAATATTTATAATAACTAGGAAATAAAGACCTTTTGAAAAAAATGTAAGCTAACTAATTTTTAATCATTATTCCAGTTGATCGAGAGGTCAGGGAGCACTTTATCTTCCTAAACAACAGAGAAGGTATCTTTTTTGTTAAGATAGAAGGAGTCATTTGATGAAGAGGATTTATTGAACTTGAAGAAATATACATGGCTAGGTAACTAGGCAAGTGAAATGTACCACTTGGTAACTAAGGCAAGTGAAAAACTTTGACTAAAAAAGAGAATTGAGTTGTTTTTTAAATTCCTCACACTCCTTTTTGAAAGAAAAATAGCTTCTTCACTCTATGATTACCCTTCATGAGAATTTTGTCATAAGTACTTTTTAACTTACCTAGAATACAAAAGACAGAAAACAAAGACTACCAGCCCAGTAACATTCTCTATATCCAGGGAAGGCCCATTTTTTAATGATGGAATAACGGTAGGGACGACAGCAGTGGTATTTCCAGGAGCCAAGGTTGGTGCAGTAATTTGTGTAAAGATGGCTATCAGGCCAGGGTTGCAGGAACGATCTGAAAATGGGAAGTGTTTTATTATCCAGTTATATCTCATCTTATACCAAGAAAGGATTATTCGAGATAATGTGAAACATGGAAATTCTATACTTAAAAGAACTTGAAATTAGCAGTCAGTAACACATTTGTGTTGTGACTAAGTTTAGTGACTAAGGTTTAGAAACAAAGAAACAATAACAACAAAGGTTTGTCTTATTTCATAAATGTCAATCTTGATTTTACTGGTTTTGAAGTTCAAATGGCAAATCTCTTTGGTTCTATAGTTGTGCAAAGGCTTTAAGCACAAGAAGTTTTACATTACACAGGCATACAATAAACACGAGTTGAGTCATAGGAGAGTCTGCACTGATTGTTTTCATTTAAAAGGAGTCCATGGAATATCCTATTGAGATAAAAATCTGTAACTACAAAAGGAAATTTCCTATAGCTATTTTCTGTATAGCCTAATAGAACAAAGTAAATTAAAACACAAAGGGTCAAAATGATGGTATCTTGTTCAGTCCTTATCTAGTTTGATTCAGTCCAGGGAAAGCTTAGATTATCAAAAGGATTTTATAAAAAGCTATGGGGACTAGAACTTGAAAGGTAAAACATCTGCAAACATACAATGAACACTGAAGTGAAATTTTTGTTGGACATTTGCTCTAGCTCTAGTTTTTGCTCCACCAAAGGAGTCATTTCCCACTTTCTTTCCATCAAGTGAATATGATACTGACATTCCCTTACCAGGTTCATTGGACATGGCCGACCACGTGAGGTATATGGTGTAGAGGGTGATGATAGAGGACTGCAGAAGGCCAGAACGGGGCTGGTGTTCCTATGGAATTAAAAAGAAAACAATGCCACGGGAATTGAAAGGGCTGAGTTTCTAAAGTTCACTGTAGGTCCCTAGCACCCACTGAGCTGTTATTAACAGAGAACTGTCTATTCCACTTTGACAGCTGAAAGGTAACAAGTTGCCTTTCATTTTAAGTTAGTATGCAAAAGAGCCAATAAAGAAGAAATATGTATTATTGGTTATCAAGGCATTTCACAATCTGGAAATTCCTGTCTCTCACACAAAGGCTCTGATTTCTTAGTCCTTTGATACAATGGAGTCTAAGCCTAGCTTTCCCACGACCTACCATCTCTCTGGAACTTGTTTTCTCACTTTTAAAAACAGAGATGGTATCAAGATGTTCACTTCATCTCTAAAAAACTCCATGAACTTTTAAAAGTGCAGTATTTTAAATGATAAAACTTAAGAGTATGAGTTTTGTTTTTAAATACTAAAATCAATTATTTTTTCTAGTTTAATTTCCTGAAAATATCTTGGCTAGTGATTTTTAAGACTCATTCTCACAATGTAAACAATTTTGTGAGAACTATAAATTCTCAAGTTAGTTTTTTAGATAGGGAAAATGTTCATTTAATTATGATAGACACACCCAATGGCACATTTTATAGTTATGAAGTTATAAAAATGAAAACTTTACCATAATATGGAAAAAATTTTAACCAGATAAACTTGGGCATATAGTCATATAAAAGATTATCTAGGTTTCAAACTTAGTATCAAAAATTTTTCACAAGAAAAAGCAGAAAACTATACCTGAATTTTGGGATGGATTGATATAATAGAAACCACAACACAAAGGATCAGATTAATGCTGATGAAGAACTTGTTTTCTGTGCAGCCATCTGATTTGGTGAAAAATGTGTAGAGCAGCACAACAAAGATGATTGACAGGATATAAAACAAGCTCGTGACAGAGAGTAAAACTAGAAAAAAGGAAACCAATATGAATGTCCACAATTACAACAAACGTCTACTCCATATATTATTTCCATGTAATATATCATTTCAGAGGCATTACTTGACTTTTATGGTGGTCAATAATCTACAGTGAAGTTACAGAAGTCCTAAGATTGATGTTTCAACTGTATTAACAGTTAGGTCAATATTAATTTCCAAAATTCACCAAGCAACTGAATTCACTCCTAGCTTTGATATTTGCTCTAGCACTAGTGTTAGCTTTAGCTTGTCATGGTTTGGAAAACCAGGCTTTTGGCCATTCTAGCTAGCGTAAACTCTTAACTACATGCTAAATAATGTGTATTATATGCTTTTCTTAGGACCTAGGAGATTCCTGGGCCCTCAAAATGGCCCAGTTCACAGCAAGTTAAACACCAGGGATGGTGTTAGTAGAAAACATGACCGGCATCTTTTTAATGAAAGCTTTTCCTTTGCAGCTGCTAGCTACATAAGCCCATTTCCTATCACAAACAATAAGGCCACATGATTGGGAAAGTGCCTCATTTGATATTTTTAAATATCTAAAGTAATATTCCTTTCTATTCACAAGAACAATCAACAATTAGTTGTGTAACTCTGAAAATTAGGGACATGAAATACAGCATACAATATACTCAATCAATTGTAGTTATGTTGAGCTCAATTAACTTGCGTTTAATTCAAAGCCCTGGCTCTTTAGAGAAAATTAGTTCCTATTTATCTCAATCTCAATGGATTTTGCATGTTTAAAAGTAAACAATGTCTACTACATTACTATAGAAATCCTAATTTTTTTTCCATCTAAATATACAGTTTCTCTACTTTTAGTACTCCAAAAGAATGGTCAATCTGAACTCATTATTAAATTATTCTAGAGCTGAATGATCCAAAATGAATCACAAAAGTGAATCAGTAAAACAAAAAAAAAATAACAAATTTTTATTAGTCAGAAGGAAACAAGAGTTTCAGTATTCCTAACCCATAACGGTAAATAATAAGGATAATTTTAAAAATCTTTTTCTGAAATAACGGGCTATTACAGACAATTTAAGTGAGCAAAAATAGGGCAATGGTTAAATCCATTATGGTACACCTTGTCACAGAATACCATGGAATTGTACAGAATGGAACATCACGTCCTTAAAATAAGACATAGCAATATACATTGGTAGGGAAGGATATCAACATACAGCTAAGTGAAAAGAGCAACTCATAAAACAATATATAGTATGAATCTGTTTGTGTTTAAATACAAAAACATGTATGTGCATAAATACATACAGGTCCAATAATGGCTGTCACACCTGGAGAGTGGGTTGCAGGAGGGTAGAGATTTGCATGTTTTATTTCTTATAAAGCTCTATCACTATAGTGTTTGTGGTGTACATTTTTTTTTTTTTTTTAAATAGAGGCATGTTTTATTTATTTATTTGTTTGTTTTTGTTAATACATGCACTGGGTACAGTCAGAAGCGCGGGAGGGTGAGAGAATTCACCAGAGCCAGAGCGGGGAGCAGAGCAGGCAGAAGGACCGAAGTACACTGCTGAGGGGAGCAGCAGGCGGCAGGAGAGGTCTGCGCGCCATGTGGGACCCTCCTCTGGTGGCCGGGGAGCAGCCGGGGATCGAACCGGCGCCGCAGAGGCCGCGGGCAGCTTCGCAACCCAGCGCTCAACCCCTGCGCCACCGGGGAGGCCCATACATATTATTTTTAATCTTTTAAATAATTTATAAAGTTTAGGCTAAATAAGATTTAAAAACCTGAACAATTTGAAAGTATTTAAAATATTCATACCCTCTGACTCTTCTATTTATTCTAAGGAAATAATCAGAAATATGCTCAAAGATAAATTATTAAGCATAACTAAACGATATTCACAAGCTATTTCTAAGTTTAAAAAAAAACCAAAATACAAACTGCTTGTATAACACATTTATAAAAGATATAGAACACAAACATACTACAAGTATTTTTCAATAATTTGTTTTTTCTATATAAAAATAAATACATGTATACATATATACATGACTGGAAAAATATAGACTAATATGTTAACAGTGAGTAATAATTAGAGTTGGATTATGGGAGAATGTGCTTGTGATTTCTGGTTTTTCAAGTTCTTGACACACGACACCTATTATTTTTGTAATGGGGGGTAACAGGGACAAGGAACCTCAACAACTATTATGTTTAAAAATGAGGTATGCCTGAGGCATACAGACTATAAATTATTACAGACTGTAAATTCTACTCCCAACAGGGAAATATTAAGTGCTCTTTACAAGGGGTTTGCAGTCACACACTGAATAAAGCAGTGAGGACTTCCCAACCTGCCTGAAGTATGTGGGCAGACATCCCGTATGTAGAACCATGAGTCTCCTGCCCATAGAAAAAAGGTAATCAGAACCAGAACCACATCTGGAAATACAACTATTTTCCTTTATCTAAACATATATAGGTACACTACAAATCTAAAAATAAATGAACTGGAAGAATCCAGTGATTTATATGACCTGCATCTGCCTGTTTCAGTAATGCATATACTTCAGAACTGACTCAACCGGGAAATTACAGTCTTCAAAAAGTCAGCTCTAGGGCCTCCCCGGTGGCACAGCAGTTGAGCGCAGGGTTGCGAAGCTGCCCGCAGCCTCTGCAGCGCCGGTTCGATCCCCGGCCACGGGGCAAGGGTCCCACATGGCGCGCAGACCTCTCCTGCCGCCCGCTGCTCCCCTCAGCAGTGTACTTCGTCACTTTGTCAATCTGCCTGCTCTGCTCTCTGGCTCTGGTGAATTCTCTCATCCGCCCGCACTTCTGACTGTACCCAGTGCTTGTATAAATAAATAAATAAATAAATCTTTAAAAAAAAAAAAAAAACAACAACAAAAAAAGTCAGCTCTACATTGAAAACGCATACGTTTGAAGAAATGGAGATCTTCAGGTTTACTCTGTTCACATACAGCAGTATGGCTCTCGAAGGTGAATTTAGATACCTACCAGCATACCAGCACCTTGGATTTCCTTCTTCCATTCGATTTACCCATGATTCATTCCAAGAGTGAGCACAGTCTACCAACAGCACCAGCTGAATGAGGATGAAGAAGAAGGCCCCTACCATACCAATTATAAACCAGGCTACAAATAAAAAGAACAAAATTATTCTTTACCATACAAGTAATATTTCAAAATGCTACTACTGTCAAATATTCTAAAATGCTTTCAATTCAAGCAAAAGAGAGGTGGTAAAGACACAGTCTGTCTCCAGTAGGACAGCAAGAGTATTCCAATTCTAAACTTAAAGGCATTCTCTGAGAAGTTGTGTTGGGTTTCAGACCTTTTAAAACTAGTTCTAGCTTACGCCAAGGGAAGCTTAGGTCTGACATTCCTAATGGTACCATAACCTTTTCCTTTACATGGAGAAAAAAAAATCACAGTGGAACAATGGCATGTTAAGGAAGCAGGTTAAGACAAAGAGAGCAGAACACATGAGGTATGAGTATTGCAAAGTGAAATGGTAAACTATTAAAATATTGGCAAACAATTAGCATATTGTAGCAAGTCATTAACTGGATACCACTTCCCTTAGTTGCCATTTATGCAAAATCAGTGATGAAAATGTAGCTTTTACGCAAATGTTTGTAGAGTTTATATATATTATTATATATACCCCCCCCAAATAGTGAGCCATACCTGTGGTGAAATGGCCCCCAGGGATGTAGAAAGCTCCAACCATGATACCAACAATGGCAGCAATTTTGAAGAACCAAAATCTATTGAAAAACAAAGGTACATTTATGAAATGCTAATTTTTGTTCTTACACTGAGAAAAATGATTTCTGAAATGCAAAACCAAAGTACTAGCAGTATTTCCAATGACTGTCTGGGATTATTCGTTTGATACAAAACTACTTCATTTAATATTTCATAAGATTTAAGGACAAACATTAACACAGAATAAATCATTCACATTCATAATAAGAGAAATACTTTAGAGTTCTCCTTTTAGCATTAAAGAGGACTTTTTCTAAAATTCTACAATTTAGAGTTCTAAACTAGCAATACTAGCTAAATAGAAAGCAATTAACTATTAGATGTGGGGAGGGCAGTTATGACCTAATCCTCCTCTTACAACATAGGACATAAGTGACTTCCCTACAATCACAGAGTTTACCGATGGGAAAGCCACAATCAAATATGGTTTTCAGTCCATAATCCTTAAAGCGTGCTTGTATGGCAGAGTAAAAAAGAATCAGGCTTATTCATGACAGACCTCGATCTCAGTCCTAGCTTAAACTCTCACTGGCTGAGAGATCTCAGGCAATTAATTTATCTATGAAATTCAGCTACTCAATCTGTAAAAAGGGGGCAATAAAACATATAAAGTTTACAAAATTCGCTCTAGCCTTCCAGTGTCCATTAGAAATAAAGGTAATAAGGGAGCTTGGGGTCAGAAGTGGGAAGACAAGACACTCATCTAAACTATAGGGTTTCAACTGAAGATGACGCTGAACCAACGTCACTGGCGTAAGTCAGACGAACACCTGGGTCACTGATTTGCAACTCTACTGCTCCCAGCAGAAGGGAAACATTTACTGCTGAAGGGGAGGGTCCATAATATAACAAGATAATAGTAAATACATCTTAACATACCCATTGTGTATTGCTGCTCTGGGATCTTTGCTCGATTTTACTTTTAACATGAGCAGAGAGAAGGCAAAGAAATAGATGGCCAAGGCAAAGTAGATCCGATACACAGCTTTGTAACCGACCAGCACATCGCAATCTTTATCCACCTTTATATCAGTAGCTTGGATTTTAAATCCCCCTTCACAGAATCCAGGAATCTGAAAAGTAATTTCAATACTTTGGGAATATCAACATTTAAAGAGATTTATTTCACCACAGGAAAGTCTGGGTTTATAAAACTGACTACTTCAACAACTCCAAGACTGGTCTATGGGATTTTCTCTGCCTTTCAATTCACTTACAATTTTTTCATCGAACAAGAATAAACTTGCATTTTAAAGATAAAAGTGAAGTGCTCTCTTCTGTTGCTCTTTTCTGTTAATGAGGTTATCTTCACCCATTTTCCTGTGAATTTTCATGCTACAACTCGCTCCTAAAGATAAAGGGTTAACCTAGTTTAATGTTTACATTTTAAATACACAATAAAAGAAAAGGTTTAGGACCACTCTTGATATCTATTTTGCTATACAATACTCCTATTTCTCTGTATCAGCTGCTTGTCTAGAATCTAAAAATAAACATTTTGACTATCTTTATTTCTGGAAAAGGACTAATGTCTTCATATTCTGTGTATTGACTATACCCAAAAGTAATCAAAACACCCAACAATTACAATAAACCTGATTAAGCACCATAACAGTAAAGAAATAAATAAAATCAATTACAACTAAAAATTTGCAAAATATAAACAAAAATAACCAGTACAGTAAAAGTACTGTTACTTCTACTCACCTTCTTCAGCTGAGTTTGTACTCCATCAAGTTGCATGATAAAGGATACAGCAGTGGCCAGGATAAGAACGAGAGCGTAGACGAGGCGAGTCAAAGTAGAATTTTTACAGTTGGGACAGCAACTACACAGCAAACATGATGCACCACTGCAGAGGCAAGGAACCTGTAACAAGCACACCAGGGCCATTTGAGACCTTCGGTGGACGCCTTCATGATATCAGTGTTGCAGAAGATAAGACAAACAGACTTTGACAATCTCAACTGAGAGAATCAGGGCTGAGGAAGAAATGGTTATAAGCATGGGCTCTGGAGGCAACAGTTTCTGCCACTTCAGTTGAGCAAGTTACATAAGCTCAGCCTATTTCTCCATCTTAAAAGAACAGACTCAATAATACTCAAAAATAGACTTCCTCCCTCAGACATTGTTTTATTAAATAAGCACTCGCCACAGTGCCTAAAACATATGAGAGTCTAACAAATGTTAGCTATATTCGCAGAGAAATCATTATTTTAAAAATGATATATCTTAATAATGAGAAAAATACAAACTTCACTTCCTGTTTATTGAGAATCCTGGTAATCAAATCTGATATTACAGCAGAAAGCTACATTACATGACACTTACAAATAATGATAGCAGGGCCTCCCTGGTGGCGCAAGGGGTTAAGTCTCAGCACTATGAAGCAATCCACAGTCACTGTAGCATGATTTCGATCCCTGGCCAGGGAGGTGACCCACATGGCACAGCAGACCTCTCCTGTCCCGCCCACTGCTCCCCTCAGCAGTGAATTTCAGTCAATCTGCCTGTTCTGCTCCCCACTCTGTCTCTGGTAAATCCTCTCACCTCCCCTTCCCACACTCTGGCCTACACCCCAGCTCTTATATGCATACATAAATAAAATAAACCTTAAAAAAATGATAGCAGTATGACATGGATGAATCTTTTCTGAACGTGTCAGACACAAAAGATCAACATACTGTATGATTTCACGGATTATTCTAGAGAGAGAAAGCTGATTAAAGAGGCTTTCAGAGGTTGGAAGGAACAGGGAGTGGGAGTGACTTCAATGGGCGTCAGGTTTCCCTTTAGGGAATGTGATAAAAAAAAAATTTTTCCCTTCTGATTTTATTTTTTAATTATTATTTTTGGATTTTATGTATTTTTTACTACATCATTTTTCATTTTTGCACAATGTATGCATTTTCATCTTGGTTATAGTCCCCATACAATTCCCAACCCCCTGAAAATGTTTTGGAATGAGACAGATGTGATGCCAGCCTAAAACAGTGACTACACTAATGCCACTGAATTACACACTTTACAACGGTTAATTTTAAGTTATATAACTGTTACTTAAAAAATTTTTAAGAGTAACCTAGATCTTTGATCAGCTAAAATCTCCTAATGGACATTCCAGGTGAGAGAGGTATAAGCTGAGTCATTCCTATACATACTTGATTAGCGAATCTCTTGAATTGCTTTGACAGGTGACATTATCAAGTGACATTACAGGGACAGGTTAGTTCAGAATTATCAGCAGAAGCAGCAGATATAAACAATGAGCATTCTAATCTTACAGTATGATCCCAGTAATAATCTTTACTTTTAATAAATGACATTGTTTGAATTTTACTATGGCTTTATTTTATTTGGAGCAAGCTGCTAAACTTCTATTTTTTTATTATTTTCTTGATTTTTTTTTTTAAGATTTATTTATTTATACAAGCACTGGGTACAGTCAGAAGCGCGGGAGGGTGAGAGAATTCACCAGAGCCACGGCGGGGAGCAGAGCAGGCAGAAAGACTGAAAACACTGCTGAGGGGAGCAGCGGGCGGCAGGAGAGATCTGCACATCATGTAGGACCCTCGCCTGCAGCCGGTGATCAAACCGGCGCTGCAGAGGCTGTGGGCAGCTTCGCAACCCAGCGCTCAACCGCTGCATCACCGGGGAGGCCCAAACTGATGAACTTCTAAATCCAAATTCCTCATCAGTAAAATGGGCATAACATCATCTACCCAAAGCAGAATTACTGTGTGAAGAATTGAGCTAGTATCAGGAATATAACATACTTGGCACGACGTCTGACAGTGCTCAGAGTATCATAGCAGCCATTAAAATGTCAATAGCACCAGCCATGGGAAACTGACCATCCAGCCTCAGCCTCCAATTCTTAATTATAATTTGGTCCAAAGACTGTAACAGAAGTCTGTATCTGACCATAGAAAGAAATACAGACATCTTATAGCCAAAAATGATACAAACTGCTTCAGGTTTACTTTGTCTGCACTCTATACTCCTGACTCCCTTTGCCTATCTTTCCTGTTCAATTAAATAATCTCATAATTACCTACTGTTTGTCATGGCTGAATTGTGTTCCCCTCCCCAAATTCATTCTTGGAAGTCCTAACTCCCAGTACCTCAGAATGAGACCTTATATAGAAATACGATTATTTAGCTAAAAACCATGTTATACTAGAGGAGAATGGGCACCAAGCCCAATGTCACCAGGGTCATAAAAAGGAGACGCTGGACACAGACACACACCATAGGGAGAGTACCATGTGAAGATGAAGGTAAAGATGTACAAACCAAGAAATACTCAAGATTGCTGGCAGCACCAGAAGTTAGGGAAGGAACATGGAACTTACCCTTGCCACTCCCAGAATGAACCAACCCTGCTGGCACTTTAGTCTCACATTCCAGCTGCCAGTACTATTAGACAGTAAATTTCTTTTGAGTCACCCAGTTGTTATTCAATCCCCGCAAATTAATACACCTATTGACTTCTAACTGTCATGAGCAGTAAGTACTTCAAGGGGGGACCACCCAGTGTTATACCTCTTACACTTTACACAGCTACTCAAGCAATGGAACAAATCTGTCCTGGTATGTTATGTCATTTCCCAACATATCCAGAATCTTACCACTTTCATAGCATCCTTAGTTTTCTCCATTGTCCAAATCACTACGATCATCTCACGGAGATTAACTGCTCCAGCTCCTACCTCACTACTGTAGCAACCCATTAAAAACCCAGAGTTGGTATAACAATACAAATAAAGATGAAGACTTTGAGATTCAACAGATGCAGGAAAAAAGCCTTCTTGGAGCTTTCCTTATTTGATTACATGCAGTAATTTCTGGGATATTGGATGTCATAAATTCTCCCCCCAGGGGAATTTCATGGCGATAAAGACAACAAAAAGACGTGTCCACACCTATAAAAACAAGTATTATCTCCTGCTTATTTTTTTTTAAAGATTTATTTATTTATACAAAAACTGGGGTACAGGCCAGATGTGCGGGAGGGTGAAAGGAGTCACCAGAGACAGTAGTGGGGAACAGAACAGGCAGACTGACGAAACACACTGCTGAGGGGAGCAGCGGGGGAGACAGGGGAGGTCTGCTGCGCCATGTGGGTTTCTCTGCAGCCAGCCGGGATCGAACCTGGGCTGCAGAGCCTGCCAACAGCTTCACAGTGCAGCACTCAACCACCTGCGCCACCAGGAGGCCCTCCCCTGTTTATTCTCAAAAACCCATTTAGTTTTTCCTAAAGTAACCATTTTGTTCTTTTGATAGAAGTCTCTCCTCCTGTTCCCATATTAAATTCTATAATACCCTCACCTCACTGGACACCCAGAAAATCTGTGTGCAGTACAGCACACATACATAACTTCTCTTTTCTCTGGTTAACATGCCTTTTATCATTTTAACTCACCATCCCCCAACTAGTAATCCCACAGAGGATGGAAGGAATTTTTTCTTTCTTCTCCTATACTGCTTTACCCTTTTATTCCCAACATCTATCCTCCAGCAACCTTGTTAAAAGAGAGGTCGGATCACATCATTCCCTTTTTCTGTATTGGCTCCCATATCACTTAAAAGCCTACTTAGACTTTAATGTAGATACAGTGGGTATCTACATTATTTGGCTCTCTGCTATTTTTGACTCCAGTTCCTATTAATCTTCCATTCCATTCCAAATTCCGAAACAACTGGTATTAATAAAGTATAAAAGCAATGGATACATATAAGTGCTTTGATGGCATCAATTCAAATCAGTTTCACAGCAAAGCCTAAATGTGTTTCAGGTTACTAGGATAAGAAAACTATCTTTGTTTCATATTACCAATTCACTTCTAACCCTATTTTGCAAATGGTGAGTTTGTCTCAGTAGTGGATTGTGAAAATCAGTTGATCAGGGTCTTTTTAAATGTGAAAAGAAAAACTTAACACAGCAGATGGCAATTAATGGTAAGAATCATTTCATGACACTTTTGTCTAAATGGGTGTATTAAACCTACTATGCAAAAGTCCTCACGTTGGGTCAAAGTTAAAAAATGGAAAGCGACTGCTCCCAAGCAACCTGTCAATAACCAAGTGCCCTTTCCATTTAAGGTCAACCATCAAAAGGATGGAAAGCACAGTGTGTTCCCAGAAAATGGTAGTGGACTGAACTGAAATGGAGTCCTTGGTCAACCAAATCGGTTGGGAAATTATGAAACAAAAGAATGCGTTCAAGGACTGCAGCTCCTCTAAAGCGGCTACATTCACAGACCCTAAGGTCTTTTTAAAAATGTCCTTTTTAAAAGATGTCTACAATCCACAAAAATGATGCAACCCTTTATTTCTTTCATCCGGACAAGCGCACACGAGGCGAGGATTGCTGGCGTGCTCTCACGGGAAGGCAGAAACACATGATTTGCACAAGGTCCCAAATCGCTGAGGCCTTCGCCTGCAATTCCGAGTCAGCCCCGGGCCTTCCTCCCCTCGAGCCAGAGCTGCCCGCGGGCCGCGGTGAAGATTCCGGCGGCTACTCACGCCCGCGCTGGCGAATTCCACGCCGTGGGACAGACAGTGCCCGGGCCTCCCACACCTCACGACGCCCCTTAAGACGGCGCTTCAGGGGAACCCGAGAGCCCCCGCCCCGGGAACTCCCTATTTCCAGCTCCCGGGCAGCTCCGGGGGACCCCGGGCCGGAAGGCGCGGGGGCGGGGCGGGGCGGGGCGACGGGGATTGTAAACAATGGCGGCCGGGCCTCCGGCGTCCCGCCGCGACCGCGGAAGGCGAGCCGCCCGCCCCGGCCCGGGCCCGCGGCTTCCGGCCCCGGCGGCCGCCGACGCCCCGCGGCTCCGGGGGGCCCTCCGCACCCGCGGGCCTGAGCCCGAGGGCCGTTCGGGTCCGGACTTGGGGCTCCCGGGGCGCTCTCCCAAGCCGCGGCTCGGCTGACACACCGGACCCCGCACTCACCCAGCTGGCGAGGGAGAAGACGCCCAGCACGGCCCCCATGGTGACAGGGCGACGGAGGCGGCCGGCCGGAGGCTGCGGGCGCGGTGGTAACCGGCTGCTGAGGCGTCTCCTCAGAAACGCGACGGTTCCTCAGGCCGGAAACGCGCCTTGTGCGTCATCGCGTGGCCCCGCCCACCGCCCTGCGCCGCAGCCCAGAGGACGCCTGTTATTGGTTGAGGGGGTAGGCGGAGCTTTACCCGCCCCGGGGTGGGACCAAACCAGTCCGAGGTAGAGAGGAGGCGGGGCTAGGGCGGCTCGGGTTCGAGGGGAGGCGGGGCTAGGGAGGCTCGGGTTCGAGGGGAGGCGGGGCTAGGGAGGCTCGGGTTCGAGGGGAGGCGGGGCTAGGGCGGCTCGGGTTCGAGGGGAGGCGGGGCTAAGACGGCTCGGGTACGAGGGGAGGCGGGGCTAGGGCGGCTCGGGTTCGAGGGGGCGGGGCTAAACCCAACCTGTCGCGGATCAGGGCGGGGCTAAACCAGTGTGGGCGTGAGGGAGGCGGGGCTAGGGCGGACCCGGGCTGCTCCAGCTGCGAGGTTTTGCTCCTGATTCATCTCGCTGGTATTCACTTGAAGCCTCCTAAGTGTCGAGATGGAGGGTACAGAAGAGCACAAGAATTCATGGCCTAGGGAAAGAGAGACTGTCAGAGAGCATAAAAGCACCGTGACATGCTGTGATGAGTTAATTCCATGAAGAAGTGTGAGGGAATATTTCAGTAAGTGTGTATTTAATGCCTACTATATGAGGGAAAGTCACTTAGCTGTGTGTGTGTGTGGGGGGAGTCCTGGAAGACTATATTTATATTTAATTTGAAAACTTGAAGGATAAAGATGAAGACTTTAGTTTTAACTTGAGAACTGAATGATAAGTGCAAGCTCATCAGGAGAATAAGGACACTATTTCCTAAAATGTGGGATATATAATACCATTTGGAGTAAACGGAATTATCTAAGGGTGAATGAACAAGACATTAAGTAACTTTGAAAGGAAGAGTAAGAAAATCCTGTTTCAAATTGGAAGAAGCCTTAGAAATATATTCTCTTAGGGCCTCCCCGGTGGCTCAGCGGTTGAGCGCTGGGTTGCAAAGCTGCCTGCAGCCTCTGCAGCGCCGGTTCAATCCCTGGACACCGGGCAAGGGTCTCTCCTGCCGCCCGCTGCTCCCCTCAGCAGTGTACTTCGTCAGTCTGCCTGCTCTGCTCCCTGCTCTGGCTCTGGTGAATTCTCTCACCCTCCCGCGCTTCTGACTGTACCCAGTGCTTGTATAAATAAATCTTTAAAAATATATATATTTTTTCTTAAAAAGCAAAATTTACAAAGTTAGAGCTCTAATTGAGGAGTTTATTAAAAGATTCATACATCAAGCAGCATCCCATGTGAACCCTTCAAGAGTTTACACAAAAATGAAGACAGAAAGGATGGGACAAGATTATCAGCAAAGGAAAAGATTATTTCAGGTAAAGCCTCAGGGGTAGGTTTTATGCAGTTGACCTCACTAGTGCTGATTCGGGAACTTCAGATTGAAGTTCAGGTTCAGGATCAAACTTTTGGGTGAGGTTCAAATTGCAAAAGGTATTAAGTCTGATACCAAATGCCAGCCTCAGTTTCCCTCAGCCAGTAAAAGGAAACAGAGTTTGAGGAGAAGGAAAATAGTTTAATTTGTCCACAGACTGAGGAGGGGAACAGACTCGTGTCTGAGAGACAACCATCCTGCTCTTTGGCAAAGTGCAGGATTATTTATACGAAGGGGGGAAAAGGTGGGGGAGGGGCAAGGATCTGCAAAGGGGAGAAGGGAAGGATCAGCATGGAGATTCCTAAGATTTCTGAGATTTCGGGTGGATGAGTCCAGCTTCTTTTTCAACAACTGCTGTTTAACTCCCTTTTTCTCGGAATGCAAGAAGACAAACCTGTCAAACAAGGGGGGAAATTGCAAGAGATAGGGGGAAGACAAACTTGTTAATGCCTATCTGAGAGACCAGTCATAAAGAAGACAAACCTGTCCTGTTTCACTGCCTCAAGTCTGGGTGGGGGAGTGACTTAAAGAACTTCATTTTGGGCCTTTTTTTTTCTATTAATTCCAAAACCTTATTTTACAGAAATGGAAAAAAGCTCAAAATGAAATGGTTTACCCAAAGTCACAGAAAGGGTTGACTGCTAAGGAAAGAAAACACTCAAGCTTTCTTAAATTCTACTGTAACATGGTCAAACTGGGTCTCTTACTTGCCACCCAGAAAGTCAAACTCTGAAACAGGAGAAAATCTGTTCACAAATGAGTTTTATTATATGAGGCAGCCACCAATGGGCTCAGCCTAACTCACACCCTAAAAGAAAAACCAGGTTTCCCCATGACAGGGGTGCTGTGATTACATATTGGCAGGATGGGGCAGAGGGAGGGATGTGAGGTGTGGGAAATGAAGGGAAAGTGGGCTTCACATCCCCAGATCACAGCAGGTGCCAGGCAGTAATGGTTCTTGAGTTAAATGTTCAGCAGAGTGTTTCTTTGGGGTTACAGCCCAGCAGATGCTTGCCCTGGTGTTGTCAACCTCAGAGGGGCACAGAGAATTTTGTTTGAGATGTAATGCAATTCATTCTCAAAGTTCAGGGGAATGCAGTAGCAGAAACAAAATCACAAGGTGGTTGGAGTGAGGGAGAACGAAGACCAACAGTGATGTCAAAACCCAGCCTTTCCCTCTGCCAATAAAAGGAAACAGAGTTTGAGAAAAACGAAACTGGTTTGATTTGTGGGCAAATGAGGGCAGCAGATTCGTGTCTGAAAGATCACCGTCCTGCTCTTAGGTAGGGTGCAGGGTTATTTATACAAAGGGGAAAAAAGGGGGTGACGGGCAAGGGTCTGCAAAGGGGAGGAGGGGAAGAGTGGGTATGGAGACTGGTGGGCGCCAGCTTGCTTTTGTTAGGGGAAAAAGTGTAACAGGGTGGTCCCCAGGAAAGGGGGAGGTTCCAGCTTCCCTGCCCCACCCAAGGAAGGGTGGAGCTGAGCAGGGAGAGAAGAAGTTGCAAGAAGAGACTGAGGAAGGAAGGAAGCAGGATGGAGCCAGGAGACCTGGAGGAGGCGCGTGGAGCCTAGAGACACGTGAAGAAACTGCGCTTGTCTTTTGGTCGTGGACTGGGTGACACAGATGTGGGTGAGACCCGTGGAGAGGTGACAATGGCAGCTTTTATCTTGATGTGGATTTTGCTCTTTTCCTTCCGGGCTTGTCCGGTTGTTTGTGACCCTTTGCTGTGGGTCCCCACTGGAAGATGCTTTAGACTCGTGGCAGGCATTGGGGCCTTGTTCTGGGCTGATCCCATATGGATGGACTTTTACCCACGAGGGGACGGGTAACTTTGGGTGCTTCATTTAGAAACTAGACTCTTTGCCTTACCTGTATTGTTTCCTAGTTTTATTAAAGTTCCTTCCCATTAAAGTCTCCTATGTTTTGTGTTGATGCGGCGGATGGCAGAACCCATGTAGAATAGGCAGGTTTGCGGGGTTTTGGGCTGCCCCTCTCCCTGTCCTATAACAGATTTGGCGACCCAGATGGGACAGAGCCATCCGTGGTTAGTCAGCCCCATGGGGAAATTGGGCTTCCCTGTGGCGCTGGCTACCATAAGCACAAATGTAATTTTTGGTTTCTCGGGTGTGTTTGTTTCATATGTCGATTTGCTGTTGAAAAACTGGCTTGGGCTTTGTGAAGATCTGTGTGTCTGTATGTAATTTGTTTGTAGTAACTTGCTAAGACATTTGATTTTGTGGAAATTGTTCTGTGCCGGTTTTACTCAAAAGATTAGGCAGTACATTGGACCATGTGGCCAGATCAAAGATGGCGTCTGAGGCCACTTGGAACTTTTTTTTTTCTTTCTTTTTGTAATCTCTGCTGTCTCATTAGCATTTCTAAAGGCAATAATGGTTCTTCAGTGGTATGTTGCTTTGTCTTTGGCTACTTCCTGCTCTCTGCCTGATGGATTTTGCAAGCCAATTGTGGAGCAGAGGTGTTTTAATTAGCAAATGTATGCCTGGGTGTTAAGGAAAGAGTAGCTTTAAGCAGTAACTGGTAATCGCTGGTATCCTTGATGGATTCTTGGAGATAACTTGAATTTTTGCAAAGTCTGGATCAGAAAAATTAACAAGATTTTGTCTGAGTCTGAAAGGATTTGCTGCTGTGAATTTTGTCTACACAATTTGTTTTGGGCATGTTTGCCATTTTGAATCCTGAATTTGTTCAATTGCTGGTGTAAGACAAGATTCTAAGTTTCTGCTTCCTACTGAGGAAGGTCTGTTGTGGAAAGCACTCTTTAGGGTGCATCATGTAACTATACCAGGTTTTCATACCTGTGTTGTTGTTGTCCCTCCCTAGTGTGGGGGAGGTGTAATTGTAACAGGGTGGTCCCCAGGAAAGGGGGAAGTTCCAGGTTCCCTGCCCCACCCAAGGGAGGGTGGAGCTGAGCAGGAAGAGGAGAAGCTGCAGAAGAGACTGAGGAAGGAAGCAGGATGGAGCCAGAAGGAGACCTAGAGGAGGCGCATGGAGCCTAGAGACACATAAAGAAACTGCTTGTCTTTTGGTCGTGGACTGGGTGACACAGATGTGGGTGAGACCCGTGGGGAGGTGACAATGGCAGTTTTTATCTTGATGTTGATTTTGCTCTTTTCCTTCCGGGCTTGTCCAGTTGTTTGTGACCCTTTTCTGTGGGTCCCCACTGGAAGATGTTTTAGACTTGTGGTAGACTTTGGGGCCTTGTTCTGGGCCGATCCCATATGGATGGACTTTTACCCACGAGGGGATGGGTAACTTTGGGTGCTTCATTTAGAAACTAGACTCTTTGCCTTACCTGTATTATTTCCTAGTTTTATTAAAGTTCCTTCCCATTAAAGTCTCATGTGTTTTGTGTTGATGCGGCGGATGGCAGAACCCATTTAGAATAGGCAGGTTTGCGGGGCTTGGGCTGCCCCTCTCCCTGTCCTATAACATAATCTGTGCTTAGATATTTAATCTGCTCTTTCAGCTTCTGTCCCAGAGTGGCTAACAGAAGTAAGGAGATGACTCCTTTTAATTAAAAGTTAATTACTGATAATTTGATTTTGCTTTTTCAGGTTCTATTCCAGGAAACCCAAGAAGTGCCTGCTTGGTGGCTAACAAGAAATGACTCCTTTTGCTTAAAAGTTAACTGTTATTTTTATTCTTTCAGTTGCTGTACAGAATACCCCAGGATTGACTTCTAACAAAAAGTCTTCAACACTGAAAACCCTAATGTGATAAACAAGGTCGTTTAACTCTTGTGATTAATAAAACTTTTCCTTCCTATTTCCAAAGTCTTAGGTTTGTAGGATGACAACCGGAAATTTTTCTGCCAGCAACACTCCACATTTTTTTTGGACTTTGACATTTTTTTTCTGAGCCTATGGAGTAAAACTGCAGTTACATAACATATTCTACGTGGCATAACTAAAAAAAAAAAAAAAAAAAAAAAAACTGTCTTTGTCTATACGTTGTATGTCTGTATGTCCTTGTGTCTAACTGTCTTGACCTCCAGTGATCGACGAATTGATATACATGGTGCCCATAGACGTTGGAAAGAAAAAAAAAGAGTCTCCAGTTATGAGAAAAACAAAAAGTTATGGTTTGATTGTCAACGTTGTGCTACTGAACTAAGCCGGTGCCTTCTTAGAGATTGAATATTGTTGTTTCTGCTAATTTTCTGATATTTATGGCAAAGCTTCCCAGAAATCTAAATTCAAGTACAAATTTGGTAGCCTGTCATTTGACTGATGCAAGGAAATTTTGTGGAACCTCAGTAGAGCTCCTGAGACACTCCACAAAGTTTCTCCCTTTCCTCCTGGAAAGGCATTAGATAAATTTGTTTTGTTTGGCTTTTACCTAATGAAGTAAAACTGGAAGGGAAGCATTGTCACTTGGGAAAATGGTAAAACTTTGGTGTATACAGAATGTTAACAGTGGTTTTCTAAAATGTGTATTTAAAAAAAAAAACGACCTCTTAGTATCTGGTATTTAAATTGTCACTGGTGATTGTCACCTTGTAATATTGTATAATTCAATTGTTTCATGTCTACAGAAATTGTATCTGGCAATATAGGAAAAAAAGGTCTCAACAGATTCCTATTGATGGAACTGTTGAGGAAAAAAAAACTTTCCTACAAAGGACTGAATAGACCTGGAAATACACCCGACATTTACTAAGGTTTCTTTGACATAATACTGGAAATTTTTTTTTTATGCATTCTGTCCTGAATCCACGAAGTTTTTGTTTTGTTTTGAGTAACCAGGATCTGCAGAAAGGTTGCAATTTTTTTTCCAGCAAAGCTAACTTGTCACATTTTCTCTCCCCTTGATACCAACACAGCATACAAATAGTGGTAGTAATTTTGCTACTTATCTTAGAGTCTGTTTTTGCATAACTTACATAGGGATTTTGCCTGTTTTAACAAAAAATTGGACGTGAGTTTAATTGTGTGGCTTTGTGTGGAGTTCTTCCAAAAGTCGAAACAGAGCTAAACCAAGAAGAGAAGAACTTGTTTGTAGGGTTCCAGAGACCTCCAAAGAAGGTGAGGAAGCTTGCCTCCATTGGCAGGACTGGACAACCCGGCCAACGAAAAAGCCCTGGTACCCTCGAGAAGAGGAAGCCCAGGTGGAGTCTGATGAGACCAACTTTATACCTGAAGCCTACATCGACTGGATGCCAATGGTTCGCTCTGATCCTATATGGAGTATTTCAACAAAGCCAGCTAAAATTGCTGCTTAGTTATTCTGCCCTGTGATTTTATGCAAAAATAGGAAAAATGGTTTAAAAGTATATTTAGTTTGCAAACTTTTGCTATGCTGTTAAAAGTTTGGGATCAAGGTTAAAAAAATTTGTGTTTTACATCAGTTGAACCATTTTAACATTTTTTCCCTGTGATTTTAATATATTTGCTATCTTGTTTTAGCCAATGCTCCAACTTTTTTTCTTTTGGCTTGAATAATGGACTATTTTTAAGTAATAAAACTGTCATACTGGACATTCATGGACAATGCTGCTGACTAATTGTTGCTTCTCTTACACACATTGAAACCCTGAAAAAAAAAAAAAGACTGTCTCCTAAAATTACACCATAAAATCTGTGCCACCATAGATATGGTGGAATAAAAATTAAAAGGGGGGATTGTAACAGGGTGGTCCCCAGGAAAGGGGGAGGTTCCAGCTTCCCTGCCCCACCCAAGGAAGGGTGGAGCTGAGCAGGGAGAGAAGAAGCTGCAAGAAGAGACTGAGGAAGGAAGGAAGCAGGATGGAGCCAGGAGACCTGGAGGAGGCGCGTGGAGCCTAGAGACACGTGAAGAAACTGCGCTTGTCTTTTGGTCGTGGACTGGGTGACACAGATGTGGGTGAGACCCGTGGAGAGGTGACAATGGCAGCTTTTATCTTGATGTGGATTTTGCTCTTTTCCTTCCGGGCTTGTCCGGTTGTTTGTGACCCTTTGCTGTGGGTCCCCACTGGAAGATGCTTTAGACTTGTGGCAGGCTTTGGGGCCTTGTTCTGGGCTGATCCCATATGGATGGACTTTTACCCACGAGGGGACGGGTAACTTTGGGTGCTTCATTTAGAAACTAGACTCTTTGCCTTACCTGTATTGTTTCCTAGTTTTATTAAAGTTCCTTCCCATTAAAGTCTCCTATGTTTTGTGTTGATGCGGCGGATGGCAGAACCCATGTAGAATAGGCAGGTTTGCGGGGTTTTGGGCTGCCCCTCTCCCTGTCCTATAACAAAAGGATGTCCCAAAGCAAATTCCATACAGGCTTTGTGGACTCCACCCCCACCCAGGTCAAAGCCAAAGACACTGGGAACTCCAAATCCCATCACCACCAAAGGGAAGGTGGCTGGGACCTGAGGGTGGGGTTAAGCAGCCAGGTGGATACAAAAGGCAGACACGTGGGCTTTGGGGGTCCCCCATTTTGGCTCTCCGCCAGCTCGCAGCCGTGCGGCCAGCTCTGAGAGTGACTTTGGGTTTCCAGGTCGTTGGATCGGGTAGGACACATTAAAGACTTTACTTCCCTATTTTCTTCCTGAGTTGTACATTTTCCTTATTTCTTTTTCTCTTGTAAATAAACCTTTTATTAACCCTTTTGTGTGTGTCTGTAGTAGAGTATTCATAAGTCCCTTTAAAGCGCGCTGGTGAGGACCCACAGCCAGGAACCCGTTTAATATCGGGGTTGCTCTATAACACTTTCTCAGCAACAGCTGTTTAACTCCCTTTTCCTTGGAATTCAAGAAGACAAACCTGTCAAACAAAGGAGGAAATTGCCAGAGATAGGGGGAAGACAAACTTGATATTCTTCTCTGAGAGACCAGTCATTTGTAACTGCATCAAGTTCTACTTTTCTAACAAAAAGTTTAGGCTACAGATTGGGAAGAGATTCCAGCTCCAGTACCTTAGCCTTTCTTCCCTACTCCCTCCACACCCCCACCCCTGTCCTTGTCCACTTCAGGACAAACAAACCTTCCAGGTAGTGCTGAATCTTTGTTTCTTCCTGTCTAGGTATTGCTGGACTGGGCAGAAAAAAGCTACAACTCATGATGAAGCCATGACCAGATCCCACCTGTAGTGAAAAAGAATTAGATTTATTTAGCTTGTGCAGCAAGAGAGAATGTACACCAGAGAAAAACATGAAACATATTGATAGAGAGAATTGGGAAAAGCTTATTTTAAAATTTGGGTTTGTGCTGGGTATTTTTTTTTTTTAAGATTTATTCATTTATGCATACAAGAGCAGGGGTGCTGGCCAGAGGTCTGGGAGGTGAGAGGATTCACCAGAGACAGAGTGGGGCACAGAATAGGCAGACTAACCGAAATACACTGCTGAGGGGAGCAGCTGGCGAGACAGGAGAGGTCTGCTGTGCCATGTGGATTGCTCTCTGGCCGGCTGGGATGCTGCTGAGGCTGCAGATTGCCTCATAGTGTGGTGCTTAACCCCTTGCACCACCAGGGAGGCCCTGTGCTGGGTATCTTTAAGAATTTTTTTTTTTTTTTGGAAGTGGGAAACAGTTGAATTAGACACATTTAAGAAGCTGGGGCAATTTGACAATTAGGTAGCTTAATAATTTTTATCCAGGTAGTAGGAAGATTAAAGCAGGACCCAAGTTGTCATTGAAAAAGAAGCAGGACCACTACTGCTGGTCAGAGAGGAGGGTGTTGAATTAGATTTGTGGTTCCTGAGTGGCCTTGCTGCATCTTGCTCCAATTGCACAACGGCCTTGTCTGGTATCTGGTTCAGTGGGTACTGTTTGTACTCTGCGAGGAACTTGGGGCAACTGGCAGCTGAAGTCTTTTGCTTTCTCACTGGCATGTATTAGTCCTCCCACTTGTGGGGTCCTGCTGATCGCACAGTGTTTCTGAGGGGTTAAGTGTGCCTCCTCTGGGTGGCAAAGGTGGGGGTCACCTTTGAGATCATCTACTCCAACTTCCCACCTCATGTAAGACTATGAGGTGGGACTATGACTTGACCATGTCTCCTCTAGGCTGGGGGCTCACTGCCATTGCAGGCAACCCCATCCACATGTACATGAGGATTCTCTAGGCTGCTTTTTCGCCTCTCCTAGTTTCAATGATTGGGCCAGCTAGACCTAGAGGTTTCTAGATCATTCCAACAAAGTATTAAAAATTTTAAGTTTTATAGAGAAGTGATAAGACTAAGGAAAGGATTTTAGGCTGCTGGGGGAGCAGACTGTCAGAAGGTAAATATACAGGAGAAACTAATGGAAGTAAGCATGATTTTAGTAAGGATTGTGATTTGGATTCTTCTCACTGATAGGAGTCTGGACTTCTCTCCTACAATTAACATCTGCCCTTCCTGGTAAAAAGGGAAACTTCTAGGGGGAGGGCAGAACAATTTCTGTGTCTGCTTCTCAATTGCCTGTAGCTCAAATAATCTATGCCAAAGTAGCGTATTCTAGGGTGGTCTATTTTGAGCCCCTACATTCCTACTGGCAGGATGCAGGGGGAAATCCCCCACCCCATCTGATTTCTTCTAAGACAAATTAGTAGGAGAAAAAACAAAATTTAATACATATATATGGAGAATTTATAAAGTTGTAAATTCTAAAGAATGATGGAACAGACTAGGGATATTTATTCGGTGTTTAGGGACCTGAGGCATCAAAGAGGGTGATCTAAAACAGGGCATGTTCACTGAAAAACCTACAACTGGATGAGACTTTGGGTTTTTTTAATATTTCATAAGAGAACATACAGTGAAAATGTATTATCTTACCACCCCACCCCATCCTGCAGCAGGTCCCAGATCTCCTTCCAGAGTTCATATAAGCATATGTCTGCATTATATGTATTATCTGTCACCTCTTTTCCACACATGGCAGCATTCCAACCACATGGTGTTGCACATTGCCTTTTTCACTTAACTTATTCATTCATTCAATATTTACTAAGTTCTTACTATGTCCCAGGCACTGTTCCCAGAGATGATAAAACAGCAAGGAGCAAAACAAATGCCTGCCCTTAAAAGAATTTCTGCTGTGGGGACAAGAGACAAGCAATAAACAAACAATATACAATGTCAGATACTGACAAAAGCTCTGAAGATGAAAAAAAAAAAAAAGCAGAAGCAATTAGAGTTGGTGGGGTTGGCTATTTTAAATTGAGGGCAGGTGTTCTTGAAGACCTAATGCTTGAGCAGACATACCAAGAAAGTGAGGAAGCAAGCCCTGCGGAAGAAGAATGTTTCCAAGACGGAACAAGAGGAAGCACCCTAAGACAGACGCATGCCTGACTTAAATACCTCAAGGCTAGTTTGACTGGAGACTGGGCAAGAGAGAAAATGGTGGAAGATGAAGTTCGATAGGCATCGGAGGTTAGTCCTTGGTGCTAGCTGACCATGGTAATTGTAGTAGGGTTCCCTCCATTTTGCAACAGCAACCCCCCCCCAGACTAAAAAATGAGGCATAAGAAACTCCGACCTTAAAAACACATCACCCAAAGCAGTGATAATGAAGGCAAACAAACAGCTGGGACTACATCAAATTAAAGAGCTTCTGTACAGCAAAAGAGACAATAACCAAAACAAAGAGAAACCCCACCTAATGGGAGAAAAATTTTGCACACAACGCTAATGATAAAGGACTGATCATAAAAATCTACAAAGGGCTGACGAGACTCAACAAAAACAAAGAAAATAATCCAGTCAAAAAGGGCAGAAGAGCTAAAAAGAAACTTCTCCAAAGAGGAAAGGCAAATGGCCAACAGGCATATGAAAAAATGTTCAACATCACTTGTAATCAGGGAAATGCAAATCAAAACTACCATGAGGTACCATCTTACACCAGTGAGAATGGCACATATTAAAAAAACTAGCAACAGCAAATGTTGGCGAGGTTGTGGAGAAAAAGAAATTCTCCTGCATTGCTGGTGGGAGTGCAAACTGGTCCAACCACTATGGAAAGCTGTGTGGAGACTCCTCAACCTGCTAAAGATGGAGTTTCCATATGATCCAGCAATTCCACTCCTTACCCAAAGGACACAGAAACATTAATTCAAAAGGGTACCTGTACCCCTATGTTTATAGCAGCACTGTTTACAATAGCTAAGCTATGGAAATAACCCAAATGCCCCCAAATAGATGACTGGATCAAGAAGATGCGGTACATATACACCATGGAATATTACTCAGCTATCAAAAAAGATAAACTCACGCCATTTGCAGCAACATGGATGGAACTGGAAGGAATCATGCTCAGTGAAATAAGCCAGAAAGAAAAAGAAAAATACCCGATGGTCTCACTCATAGCAGGAATTTAGAAAACCTAAATAAGGGACCAGGAAAAAGACTAATTATAATAAAGTAAATATCAAAATCAACAAGCAACTACAAACCAGAGACACACTATGGGGTGGGGGGGTGGAAGGAGGGAGGAGGATCAAAACAAAGGGGGGGTGGGAATTCTATGGGGACTATAACCAAGATGAAAATGCATATATTGCGCAAAAAATGAAAAATGATGTAAAAACATATAAAATTTTAAAAATAATATTAAAAAAAAAGAAACTCTGACCACTGAATTGTATTCCCTCTTTAGGAATAAATGTGAAATCACTGAGTTGCATCGCCTATGCCCCTTTTCGTGACTACCATTAACTGGCTCCAAATACATTCCTGGAAACTTGATAAAGTGATTATGTCACATCCCTAATAAAGCTGTCTGTGTCCCTCTGAGGCTGATAGTGGCATCAGAAACAAACCTGCTGATTGCTGCTGAGAACATCGTGCTCAAAAAAGCCAAAGCCCATTACCTAAGACTGCCAGCCTCCTGGAAGAGGCAGGGGTGGGAACAGGGATAATTCACCTAGTCCTTAAACCTGCTCTGCAAATTTCATATGACCAGGAACCAGAGGTTGGTTGGTGAGGGGGGAGCGGTGTAGAAATAGTACATCTTTACAACAAACCAACCCAACTCCAGAGAACAAAGGGAGAAATTCCAAAGTATATAGAAGGCTACCCCATCCTGTAGAAAACACAGCCTTTGCCTGCTTGTGCCTGAGCAAGCATATCTTTTTCTCAATAAACTTGCCATGTGCTGGTTAAGATGACTTTGCTGAATTCATTCTCAAAGGGATCAAAGAACTCCCACCCATTCTCCAAAGGTGATGCCTCTAGATTTCATTCTAAATGGGGATGCTGTTGAAAGGTTCTGAGCAGGAGAAGGACACTAGTGCGTATTTTAAAAGCACTGTTTTAGATGTTGGGTGGAGAATATACTGGGGCAGGACTGGGGTAAGATTGGAGGTAAGAGTAAAAGCAAAGAGGGACTTCTTAGGAGATCCTTGCTATATGCAGACCTTGAAAGTAGGTCTGTATCTGAACTATAGTTACATCTACAGCTAGCTCAGTCTCCCAATTTTTGCTATAGTAATTCATTTTACCGATGTGTTAAAAATAGAAGAAAAAAAAAAAACAACCAGATCTAAAATGGAGTTTTTCATGTCACACCCACCTCTCAGATTTCACACCTAGGACAGTTTCAACCTCTCCCAAAAGTGTGATCCTAAACCAACCAAGTTCAGGCTTCCTAATCTACACTGTTGAGCTCAGGCCTGCTTGTCCAGACAGAAGGTGGTTTTACCAGAAATAATCTTTCTTTTGCTAATAACCTTGTTTTTCTGTCTATAAATACCCTCCATTTTTTGTGAACTCTTGAAGGGTTTACATGGGATGCTGCCTGATTCATGAATCATGACTCTTTCAATAAAATCAATTAGGTCTCTAACTGTGTGAATTTTACTTTTTTAACAATTGCACCATGATTTATTTACTCACTCCTCAGCTGATGGCATTCAGACTGGACTCAATCCTTTTGCATCTACGAACAATGAAGCAGTGATTATCCTGTGCTCAGGTTCCACTGTATCTGCAGGATTATTCCAAGAAGTATAGTTGCAGGTTACAGATGAAATTATTTCCTGTATTGAAATCAAATCTGGTGATCTAATTCTCACCTTGAGCCCCCAAAAACAAGTTTATTCATTCTTTGCCACCTGAGCCTTTTGGAGTTCAAAGACAGGGGCATCTGCCACCCTTCTCACATCAGCTATTCCTTTTTTTTTTTTTTCTCAAGATTTATTTATTAATGCATGCAAGAGCTGGGGTACAGGCCAGAGATGCGGGTGTGTGTGAGAGGATTCACCAGAGAGAGTGGGGAACAGAACAGGCAGATTGGCCCAAGTACTGCTGAGGGGAGCAGCGGGCGAGTCAGGAGAGGTCTGCTGCGCCATGTGGGTTGCTCCCTGGCTGGCTGGGGATCGAACTCGTGCTGCAGAGGCTGTGGCTTGCTTCATAGTGCAGTGCTTTAATTGCGCCACCGGGGAGGCCCACATGAGCAATTCGTAAATATTTCCAGTCTAGCGAGCTTCATGCCTCTGGTTGGGTCCTCTTGTAACAGGTCCCCAAACCCATTTAGAGCATGCAGGTTTTGGGGGTTCTGGGGTGCACATCTCCCTGCCTTGTAACACTCTCGCCCTCACGGTCCCAATCTCTGGCTCCAGAGGCATAAACTGAGGCACCTGCAGCAGCTCAGGCACACGTCCTCCCCTGGGCTGACTGCCCCCCAACCCCCAGCATTCCCTTCCACCCCTCTCGCCCAGGCTGCAGAGCCCCTCTCGGGGCGCTCACCCTCGGGAGCCTCACGCCCACGCGGGCCCCCTCCTCAGCCGGCTCAGGGGCTGCAGCAGGGAACGCGAACCCCCTGGTCCCCTCCGAGCCGCCGTAGCGCCGGTCGCCGGAGCCGGGCAGCTCGTCGCCAAGGCAACGGGCTCCGCCGCGCGCAGCAGGCGCCTGGCAGCCGGGGGAGGCGCTGCGGGCCGGCGGCCGGGCTCGGCGAGGCGGCGGGGCGGCAGGTGAGCCGGGGCTGAGCTGGCCCCCGCGGCCGAACGCGCCGGCCCCAGCGTCCACGGGGCGCCGCGGGCGAGGGGCTGGGGCGCGGGGGACCCCAGGGAAGGAGGCGGGGGCCAGAGCTTTGTCCCCTGCGCCGCGCGCCGCTCCCTCGTGTCCTTTGACGCCGCCTGGCGCCGGCGTGGAGTGGGCACGGGGCAGCTTATTATGTTTAGGGGTCATTGCTTGGCCTGGTCTGAAAGTTTCTTTTTTTTGAAAAAAAGCCCTTATTTGGGGTTCGGGGAATAAGTCAGAACCGCGGAAAATGTATGCTGGTTTATCACTCTTCTGGGGCCAGATATTCTTCGTGCACTAGTTTTCTCATCTGCAAAATGGGGGTGAGCATAGCACCTGTCTTCTAAGATTATGGAAAGTGGATTTATATATGAAACTCTTGCAGGTAAGTTCTCCATGCCTGGCAGTTTTTATTACTACTACTACCACCACAAGGAGGTCGATCATTGAGCATTTATTTTGTGCCAGGGCCTGGGCTGATCGCCAGGGAGAAAAGCGTGAATGAGAGATCTTGTCCTCAGGGAACTCCACAGTTTTACGGAAGAAACAGGCCCATAAAGAGGAATGCACTGTGGTTCCAGCTATGATTTTGGAGAAATAGGGGACTGTGAATGCACAGAGGAGGCAGTGAACCCAGATTGCCAGAGATGAGGTTGAAGAGGTTGGTAAGAGATGCAAAAGGGAGATGACTTCCAAAATGAGACATGAAGGCTGCCTTTGTATGGTCTAGAAGGTGAGACTGATGAAGTGCACAGTGTTCTAAGCAGAGAGCAGCATGTGCAAAGTCCTGGGGAGACAGTGTAGGCTGCTGGGGCATATGCAAGGATTTCGTGGAGTTGCTAGAGACGGCTTCTGAGAAATGAAAGTGGGCTTGCTGGATGGTGAGATAAGCAGGTGTCCCTTCTGAAGGACTTCCTTTGTGTCTCTTTGTGAATTTTGTGGAATTTGGACTTTATCTTAGGGGCAGTGGAGAGCCACTTTTAAGGCATGTTAAGAAGGCAGTGAGTGGGGTGTGTGTGTGTGTGTGTGTGTGTGAGAGAGAGAGAGAGAGAGAGAGAGAGAGGTGTCAGAGGCATGGTTTCTGAAAGATCAAGGTTTTTGTTGTTCTTGCTTGGTCTCCTCCTCCAATCTGTTTTTCACATTGCAGCCATTCATTATAGTGATTGACAGAATATTTATTGAGCATCTATTGTGGGCCAGGCACTATGTAGTAAGGAATCAGGTCTTTGCCCTCATGGCATATGTTCCAAACATTTTCAAAGGGACCGTCATAGAGATAAAGGCAGTTCAGTACAACTGGAACTTTAATCAGTATTGGAAGGGACCCATCCAGAGAGACATAAAAAGGCCCAGATTCAGGGCCACTGTGTTGCACACTCTTGGAAGAACCATTCGCTTAGACCATACCAAGAAGAAATGGCCAGAGAAGTAGAAGGGACACCAGGAGTGTAGTAATGAAGGGTAAAGGAAGAGATTAGCTTTGCTGGATGCTGCTGGGATTTCAAGTAGAATAAGTCAAACGTGAAAATGTGCCCGTTGGATAAATAAATATAGAGGTCACTGGGAACCTAATTGAGCAGATTTGGTGAAATGGTGGGGGCGGAATCTGTAATATCAGCAGCTTCCAAAGGTTCAATGTAATATATCAGTGGGATGAGGAGAGAGTGGGATGTGAGAAAGTAAAGACAAAGTGTAGGCAGCTCAAAGAAGTTTGGCTATGAAAGGGAAGAAAGAGAAGACTGGAGAGCAATTGGGGAAGAGGGTAAAGTCTTTTCAAGCATGAAAGAGACATGAACAGATTTAAAAACTGATTGCAGAGAGTCAGTAGGGAGGCTGAGAGAGTATGGGGTGAAAAGGAAACTCAGTGGCACAACTTTCCTGAGAAAGTGAGAATGTGTGAGATCCACGGCACAAATCCTTTAAAAGGATTGACGGCTTCTACTTTTTGGGAGAGGTGGGAAGCAAGGTAATTGTTGAGAAGGAGTGCACCGGTGTAATGAAACAAAAAATAGCTATTAGGTGTAAGTGTGGAGAGAAAGCTATACTTTCATTATCGTCAGATAGCAGACATCTGTTGAGCTAATGCTGCATTAAGCACTTTTCACACTCTCGTCTCAATAATATATTTACAGCAACTCTGTGCAATAACCTCTATGATCGTTCTTGCTTTATGGATGAGGAAATTGAATAAAATGCTTACTCAGGGTCATACAGGATTTGAATCCAGGATGGTCTAAGCCCAGAGCTTTTACTCTTAATTGCTACCTACATGATATGATTATCTACCTGATGTGCTCTTCTGCTGAGAAAATGCAAGAGAATTAAGTTTCAAATAATCAGATATTATCAGATTTAAGGGACAAGCAACTACATGGTACAAGCAATAGCTTTATGCAAGCAGTCAGAATCAGAAAATGTAATTGTAGGAGAAATGACAAAACAACATGAAAAAGAAATACCTAGGAAGAAACTTAAAAAAATAAGTGTGCCCAGACTAGCCACATAGAATGAGTTAGCTGGAGAGGGGGAGGAGGGATGTTTGGCTGAAGAGGCAGTATTTTTCTCTTGGGAAAGTCAGGATGTTGATAACAGAATGTAAAAAAGCCAGATGTTGATCATAAGACAAAATGTGAAACTATGCAGAGAAGTCGATGATGATATTTTTATAATGAAGAACTGAAAACAGACTGGTTAAATTATGGTGCAGTCATGTGGTAGATACTAGCAGCCATTAAAAAAGAATAAGGTGGGAGTTATATGTATGTATATATATATATATATTTATATCATATGGTTAGCTGTGAAAAGCAGACTACAGTACAGTATGTTCCTATTTTTAAGTATATACATATTTATAGGAAAAATGTCTAGAAAGATTCGTTCTTTCAAAAATTTTAATTTTTAATTGTCATAAGATACTCAAAATTTACCATCTTTAACAGTTTTTAACTGTACATTGAAGTAGTGTCAAGTAGATTCACATTCTTGGGCAGTCTCCAGAACTTTGCATCTTACAAACTGAAACTCTATCCATTAAACAACAGGTCTCCGTTTCCGTCCCCTTTGTCCTGGGGTGCCACCATTCTACTTTCTGTTTCTACGAATGTAACTACCATAGGTCCTTCATGGAATCATAGACACGATTTGACCTTTTGTGACTGGCTCATGTCACAGAGCACGATGTCTTCTGGGTTGATCTATATTATAGTTTGTGTCAGAAGCTCCTTTCTAAAGGCCGAATAATATTCCATTGTATGTACATCTACATACATTGCAGATCCATCCTCAGACACGTGGCTTGCTTCTCCTTTTTAACTATTGTGAGTGGTGCTGCTATGAACATGAGTGTACTGGAAAGATTAGCTCTCTCTATCATGAGATCCATGAGATTGGGGGAGACTTTTATTCCTTTCCTTATTGCCTTCTTTTTCTTTCTTTTTTTTTTTTTATGAGCATGAATTGCTTTCATAATCAGAAAAAGCAATAAGGATATATACTGTTTTGAAGATGGGGGAGTAAAGGTTAAGACAAGCCTAATCTAGGGTAGTGGCAACAGGCACAGACTGGAGAGGGCAGATTTGACAGACACTTGGGGAGAATCAAAAGGACTTGACCCCTAAGAGGCAAAGAAGAGAGAAGTGGAAGACTAAAGCCTCTGGCCTGTGGCAAGAAGGGGTGTCAGTCCTTGAAGGACTTAGACTAGAGGATCAGGGGGGAGAAACACCTAATCCCTTGTTCAGGCGGTTGGACTTTTTCCTGAAAGCAGGGGGAGGCCCTGGGAAGGAAAGAGGAGGGCTTCATCAGATTAGCATTATAGCAAGATCACCCTGACTTCCTACCACCTGCTCTGCCAACTGAAGCCGGTAGTGCCAAATTTCCCTTTCTGTCACTTAGGCTTGAACCTCTACTACTTTCCTTTTATACAAGATAAGCCTTTAGTGTTGAAAGATACATATTTATTTTTCCTAAAAGCACCTGGACTCTTTTAAATAATGTCCTGTTTAAATTATATTGATTCTTAATTATGTTCAGTTTAGCTTGACAAGTCTCCTATAAATTTTTTTCCCACCTTTAATGGGAGAAATATGAATAATTGGCAAACAAAAAATTTAAACAAATTGGAGAACTTCAATTTATTGCAAATATCAGAAAAGGGTCAATTGATAGTAAACTGTAAGGAGTTATTATAAAACGAAAACTTTTTTTTATGGTAAGGACTGCTTTATTGGCGTTAGTACAAGTCAATAAATACTGGGGCCTCCCCGGTGGCGCAGCGGCTGAGCGCTGGGTTGCGCAGCTGCCTGCAGCCTCTGCAGCCGGTTCGATCCCCGGCTGCTCCCCGGCCACCGGAGGAGGGTCCCACATGGCGAGCAGACCTCTCCTGCCGCCCGCTGCTCCCCTCAGCAGTGTCCTTCGGTCCTTCTGCCTGCTCTGGTCCCCGCTCTGGCTCTGGTGAATTCTCACCCTCCCGCGCTTCTGACTGTACCCAGTGCATGTATAAACCAAACAAACAAACAAATAATAAATAAATAAATAAGACATGCCTCTAGAAAATAAAAAAAAAAAAAAAAACAAGTCAATAAATACTGACCCCCCCCAAAGAACTCCAATTGTTTATCAGATTTCTGGTCCATTGAACCAGATGATTGCTGGGAAGATAAATTGATGTCAGTCCAGGGCCTCCCTGGTGGTGCAGGAGTTAAAGACAAAGCGCTGTCAAGCCATTGGCAGCCACTGCAGCAGCATGAGTTCAGACCCCAGCTGGCCAGGGAGCTGACCCACATGGCACAAGAGACCTCTCCTGTCTTGCCCATTGCTCCCCTCAGTAGTGTATTTCAGTAGATCTGCCTGTTCTTCCCATTCTCTCTGGTGAATCCTCTCACCCCCCAGTGTACACCCCAGTTCTTGTATGCATAAATAAATCTTTTTTTAAAAAATTGATGTCAGTCCTGCTCTTAGGAAAATGAAGCCATAGCAGCTGACATGTAGACATGCTGTCCTACCCACACATGGGGGCACCTACCACTTAACCCTGTAGATGCCCAGGGATGCCGTTATTTTCCTGAAATAGCTTTGGTTTTCCTGGAACTTCACTTTTGAGCTGCCTGTGTTACATGGTACTTATGTTCTTCTGGGCAATCTGATGAAGAGCCTGCAGTTCCTGCAGCATCTTGGCTCAGTTACTGCCCAACAATCAAGACAACTCAACACCAGTATCAAAAATTGCCACACCGGTAGCAGAATTGCCTTCTCCAAAAGAAAAATTCTTGAGTCTGAATGGTCTCGGTTTATCACTTATCTCTACTCCCACAAACCTGTCATCTCTCTGCTTCTAGAACATCACAGAGAAAGGGAACTAACTGTTGTGCTAACATTTGTAAAGAG